GGCCTGAACTCTGGGTACAGGAAAACCCAGGCCTTGGTCCAGACCCAACTTGATCTCAACAATCTATCATACCATAACGTCTCGGATTCAAAGATATTGAACGAAGTTACATCTCATTAACAATAACTACATCCTAAACCTGAAGTTTATCAAATACCCTATTTAAACACACAAGTGACTCTATATCATAGTGGCCTTTTTGTCCTATTTATAAACACTAATATTGTCGGATAGTTGGAAATCTTAGGATATCCGGATCCGTATCCGAACCGAAAATTTTCGGATATCCAGCCTTTTTTCGGATCCGGATATCAGGATCTGCCAACCTTAATAGACACTACTTAAAACTAGAGTTCGAACCCGGGCCGGGCCCGGACCGGTTTTTTCCGGGCCCGGTAGCCCTGAACCGGGTATTTTTGAGAAAATCCGGTTTTTCCGGGCTAACCGGTTTTTCCGGTTTTATCCGGAAAAACCGGCCCGGGTCCGATCTTGAGTAAAAAAACCGGGTCCCGGGCCCGGCAATTTTTTGCCGGGCCCGGAGTCTTTTTGAAATATGTCTTAAGGACTCCAAAATTTCCCAAAATTTTCGCCTGCGGCGCTGAAAATAAAAGAAATTTGGCTTTTTAAGCTCCAAAATTAAAAAATTTTCGCCTGCGGCGCTAAAAACGAAGAAAGCGTTTAAGCGTTTCGCTAGAGTAGACCAGCCTTACGCCGCCCACCCTACCATAGTCGTAAATCTTTATATTTGTGATTTAAAAATATTAAAAATTTTTGAAACCCAGATTTGAATATGCTAAAGTTGTACTCCAAATTGGATCAAGGCTAAAATTACTCCAAATTAAGATTAAGATATATGCCAATTTAAAAGGATTAATGGGTAAATTGTAGAGAGACAAGTTATGTTGCATATTTAATTTTAGGGAATCTCGAAAGAGCAAATTTGAAAAGATTAAAGAGATTTAGTGGAATTTGGGTGATAGAAATGATATAGAAGGGAAACAGAAGATATCTCAAGGGATATAAAAGATATCTCTTTTATCCCGCTTAATATCCCTCTTGATCGATTACTAAAGTGGTATACTCCAAAGTGAATTTGGATATAACGTGTGATTTTAATATATCGGAGGATTAATGTGATCTATCGATTTAAGGGATTAAGGTGGATATCGAAGATTTGTAGGGTCCACTCTTGTTTCTGTTATGCTTTTGTCACGAATCTAGCTCTTGGGTTGCATATTTAGATTTAATGAGTTGACCCTTTCTGGCCGTGTAGATTAGTTAATGATGGATGAGTTAAGGATTTTTTGATTAAATAAATAATTTTTTCATGTTTTAATAAATTTAGAAAAAACCGGGTCCGGGCCCGGGTCTGAAAAAATCCGGTTTTTCCGGGCTAACCGGTTTTTCCGGTTTTATCCGGAAAAACCGGTCCGGGTGCGATTTCGTGAAAAAAAACCGGGTTCCGGGCCCGGCATTATGAAAAGTTCGAACTCTACTTAAAACCAATAAATTCTATCAAATATTATTTTTAAATAAACTTACAATATTGGGAAAGATAATGCGAATAAACGGTCAAAACTGATTAGTATATACATGAAATAAGTCGTAATGTTGAAAATAACTGTATAAGCTATATAAAATTTAGTCAACCAAATTGGGAAAAAATTTAGGCCAATACATATTCTTACAAAATAAATTAATCTAATTATATGAGATAAAACATCAATTACTGAATAAATAAACAGTAAAGTGCTTGTATTGCTTTTGAATGCAAGATATTTTTGCCTAAAATTTGATAAAATTTAGTTTGAAAATAAATAAGAATTCTTTGATTGCGCTTAATTCGTGCTGGCATAATACCTGGGAATCAAAAAATATTTGAATAGAAAGCTGTCATTCTGTTCCCAACTACATATGTCCTAACGAGGGTTGGCGAATCCGATATCTGTGTCATAAAAAGTCCGAATATTCGGAATAAAATTTTGTACAAGTTCCCTGTTGTACGAATTTTATCGTCTATATCATTTTTATGCTTGATCCAATCCTTATGAATCTCGTATCATTCGAAATCTTGCACCTATCGTGATGTAACTTTTTAATGGTCAACAGACGTGATTCATCCATTAGAAAAAGGATAGAGAGTATTGAGGGCTTTTGATTGATATAAAGAACTAGGGTTGGGCCTTCGAGTCGGGCCGACATTCGAGTCATTTTTTCAGGCTTCATTTTTATCGGGCCAGCTCGGTCGAGTCTTTTTCGGCCTTAAATTCGATGCCCGACTCGATCTTTCGGACCGGACCGGGCCGGCAACCCTATAAAAACTTTCGATTTATATAATATTTAATTCAATTTAGTACCTATATTTAATAAAGATATAGCAAAGACTTAGATTTGATAGTACTATAATCAAAGAAAATAATGTAGTAGTTGATGCATTAAGAAATATTTCAGGGACAAATCCGGAGTCCTTGTATTTTGAATATAACGCCTTTATTTATTTATTTTATTCAAATTAAGAATTAAAAACTAACGCTGTAGAAACTTTTGTTGTCCATTTCTTGATGGAAATTTAATAAAAAATATTTATATGTAATTTAATTGTTAAAATTAGAGTTGGAACTTTTCAATTTGCCCGGCCCGATATCTATGTTTGGCGCATGAAGTTCATTCCCTTATAATGGAATTTCTGGTCTCCCTATTAACATAAAATCATTGGTATTTATCACCAAAGGAAAAATCCAATAGTAGAATAAAGTTAATTAGTCAACCAGGTTTCAGTCACAAGACATATGTATGTATATGAGTCGTGTTGAATAATAAAATGCTTAAAATCAGGATTTTATCCCTAGTGATCTGCTATTGAAGTATACTAAACAAGGTTTGTTTTCAATGAAATTGCTACTGTTTTATGATTATTCTTCCGTGGCTTTCAACAAAAAATATCTGTAAAATTACGTCATGGCTCACATCCAGACAAACAATAAGTCATTCAAAAAAGCTGCGCGAACTGAGTCGAATGATACCAAAATTAGATTCGTTACTCGATTATGAGTCGAGATAAGAAGCTTCTCGGTTCCCAAATAATCAAGCTGATTATTTTCCTAAATAATCAAGTTAATTATTTGGGAACCGCGAAGCCCGTAAAATTGAAGCTTAAAGCCCGGATCCTTAAAGTCTGGGAACTTAGAGCGAGGAAACCGCGATAAACCCCCTAAAATTGGATTTTAACCATATACAAGTTTCTGGGTCACAGTGCCCGGAAAACTTAGTCTGGTTTGGTTCGAACTCTAATTTTAATAATCTTAATGGAAAAAAGTTTTGAATTTTATTTAATTTTTTAAAGTTTGTTGAAAATTTTTTAATAATAAATTAAATAAAAAAAGAAATATGAGGGACGTCAAAAAAAGTACAGTAAAAATTCACAAAAATTCCCACAATCTTTTAAATAAAAGCTCATTCTCCCACACACTTTCAAATTTATTTAAAAATATTTACTATGCCAGGTCTAAGCATATTAACATACATATGTACATTTTTATGCTCGAAATATGAGACAATAAAATGTTCTCTTTTACATTAGTCCGAGCTCTAGGGCATTTTTGGTAATATTCAATTTCGTTCCCCCCCCCTCCTTTTTTCCATCCTCAAAGTATTAAAAATGGTCAGTCTGACTTTAGTTATAGAACTCGTCGAGCTGAGTCATATAACACCAAAATCAAAAAATCCGACTTGATTTGACCGAAATACAGACCCCTGAAAATTGAACAACCACAGGGGTGATTTTTTAGAATAAAAATTTTTTATCCAAATGATAGCTCATTCGAAAGAGCTCGTCGAGCTGAGTCGAATGACACCAAAAACGACGTGATTGGACATGGTTTGACAAAGTTATGACATTAAGTGTAGACCTAACGGAGTCGACGACTTATGTCATAACTTTGTCAAATCAAGTCGGATTTTGTTGATTTTGGTGTCATTCGACTCAGCTCGACGAGTTCTATAACTTAAGTCAGACTGACCATTTTTTAATACTTTGAGGATGGAAAAAAGGAGGGGGGAACGAAATTGAATATTACCGCATTTTTTAATAACTACGAACTAAAGAGCTTAATTTCAATTGTTTATGTGTAATCAAGCGAAGAGAGAAATGTAAAACATAAAAGATATAAAAGATATGTTACCTCCTATCTATCCGCATTATAGGATAGAATTTTTCTGCTCTACTGTAGTCCAATCACACTTTATGAGTCCAATAAAAAAATAATTGGATTTTTCTTGCAAAGTTGGGGTATGGCAAGTTGGGGTATGGTTGCAAAGTTGGGGTATGGTTTCAAAACATTTCTTCATGTTCTGGACCTATGCTCACGGGGTCTGGGACCATTCCTTGCCCTATCCCTCGAAATTTCTGAAAGCAATATCCAATTTTTAAAAATTTCAGAAAAACGATTATAACTTTAAGAAATTTCGAGATATAGGGTAAGTAAGGGTTCCAGATCCAGTGAGCATAAGTCCTGAACATGAAGAAATGTTTCGGAACCATACCCCAACTTAGCAAAACCAACAAAATCCAATTTTTTTTGATTGGACTCATAAAGTGTGATTTGACGCATAAAAGTCGATTGGACGTATATTGTGTAATACTAGAGCCATAGATTCGTACCAGATACATATCTCTAAAAATATCAATTTCGATAATCAAGATTTCCGTTCGAGATCTTGTCTCGGTACTAGGCTAGACTAGACTCTCTAGGTATGTCTCTCCGCCAATTAGTTTGTGACTTTATAAACTAACAATATATAAGAAAGAATTAAAACCGATTAGAACGCTTTAACGTTTCTAAGACCCGTAAATCTATCAGAGATTTTGATCAATCAAAACTATAGATTACTTATAATAACTCGAATATCGTATTTTAGAACTCCTAAAGTCGAAACCCGATATTTATTTAATTAATTCAGAAACAATTTATTTATTTTCATTTATTCAAAAAAATAAAATTTGAACGAAAGGTTTTATAACATGATAAAGGGTTTATCACTTGATAAAATTTTTATACCCGATGTAATCCGACCAAGGATCATGCCTTTTCGCTTTTTTGAAAACCCACACATTTATTTTTTAAGTCGGCACGATCCTCGATATTGACTAGATATTTTATTTAAATTTATTTACATTTTAATTCAGAAAATTTAATCGTTCCTTTATTTCTTCTCCTCATTTGATTATAAATTGTCTATTAATTTTTAAAATTTTTTTAAGTTACAAAATAAAAAACTGCTCACTTGTGGCCAATTTTTATAATATTCTAAATTCAATTTCCTCTCAGACTTTATTTTTTGTCTTTCTTTTAATTTTTTATGCCAACATTTAATTACTCCAAAATCATATCCAGGCATCATTTTGTTAATAAATAAATGGGGAATTTTAAAAATATTTTCTGAAGTAAGGTCCTCTAATCCAAACACACAAACATCATGTCTAATACTTCCACTCAAACAATCTGTACTTCCCCATAAAGCATACCTTTAATTTTTTTTATAATTTATTGATGTTTGTTTAAAAGGATTTTGAAGAATAATATTTTCATAATTAAATTTATTCTTCACATTTTCAAATTAAGACTATTATTATCGAAGATTTAATATCTCATATTTGGTAAATCTGATTAGGGTTACCGTTTTCGTGTTAAGAAGCCAGATTTCTTCCATTTTTGTCCACAAAGTTGGTTAAAATATTATCGAGTCTTTTTCGAGTCGGGCCACATTTTTTTTCGGACCTCATTTTTTCGTGCTGGCCCAACCGAGTCTTTTTCGGGCCAAAATTCTATACCCGACTCGATCTTTCGGACCGGGCCGGCAACCCTATATGTGATCGTTCTCCTTTTAGTTTTTACGCATAATGTCATAAAACTATTTGTTATTCAATAATTACGGGCATTGTTTTTGGGAAAATTCGTCATTTTCGATACCAGAATTAACATTAATGTAAATAATATTTTCGATATTCCCTCCTCTAATACCGAATACATGCCTATTATTTTTGTAAGCTTTTATACTCTCTAAAAACTTTATTAAATTTTGGAAAATTAATATTCTAGAACTACTTAACAACCATCTAGAAAATTAGAAAAAAATACAAAAAAATTATTATAAATTTTCAGAGATTAAGTCTTTATTGTTAGTTCCCAACAAATCTAAAATCAACACAATTTTCAAATATATCTTTAATTACCTAGTAATAAAAGGTGTTGTATATCCAAAAGCATAACATTGTTCAGTAAATCCACCGGGAGCATTTAAATTATCAGAAATACTTAAAGATTGCCATAAATGTTCATCAACCCCAAATTTAGCTTTATTTAATTGTTCTAATAATTTTTCTAAATTTAATTCGTTTATAATAAAATCAACAAAAGCCCGAGAAAGCGAAGCTGCCGAATAGCCTTTACTTATAGTTAAAATTTTTGGTAAATTAATGCCAAAAATATTTTGTGATTCTCCTCTATTTTTTGAATCTGTAATTTAAATAATTTTAAAATTACACGGTAAAATAAATTATAAAATGCTATTTTATTGTTAGATACGAGAAATTATTTATTCTTTTATGGCTTTTGATGTTTGTATTATTCTAACAAAATAATTTTTTGTGTTTGTTTTCGAATATTTTCTTGTAAAAAATTTAACTACGCTTAAAAATTCAAGTTAGTCCATTAGAAAATCGGCTATCTCTATCTTCTCAGGAATCATTAAGATATTCTGTTTGCCGGACCTACAGGTACGGAAAGGTGGGACAACGATCTTTAGTAGTGTTTCACCGGAACCGATATTTTGACCGGAATCGGATCCAATTTAAGTTCCGGATTCCGTAACCGGAAAAGAATCTTTTTATTGGTATTATTTTGAAAAAATCTTTCAAGAACGGGGTTCGGGGTCGGGGCGCAACTCTGATTTAAATTACCATTTTTGTAAAGTTTCAATTCCTCAAAAGACCATATAAAATTAATCAAATAATATCTAATCCTTTCATCCGCATCAGAATTAACACAAATTTCAATATCATTAGCTCCATCCAATAAATTAAAAATACGAACCATTTCTGCATTTGTTTTTGCTTGAATATCGTGATTCTAATAAATATTTTTAGAATTTTAAATATTTATTTTTGGCAAAATAATAGTATCTATGGCAACAGACTGTTAACTTTCATTTTAAATTTTTGGACAAGTCATTTAACTAATGTAAAGCATATAGCTATTAATTTCCTAAGGCTGTGCAGTATGCGGCGTGGTGTAATGGATAACACATCAATCCGGTCTACTGAAGATGCTGGTTCGCTCCCAGCCGTCGATTCACCTTTACCTTTAGCTCCAGCTAAAGGAGATAAATAGCTATAGCCCAGCTGCTTTACTCTATATTTTGTTTCCAAAAAATTTCCACCTGTAAATTAATTAAATAATTCCACTGTCTCTCAGGTTTAGCCAAAATATTAGCACATTCAATCATTGCATTATTTGTATTATGCCCAGCTCTAGAAATATTAAATCTCTTTTCTGCTACAATTATATTTGGAAAACATTTTGCTAATCTTTGTAGTCTTGAGTAAAATAAAGGAGAAGATTTCGAGTCGACAACGTAACAATACCAATTTTCTGGAGTGTAATGCAAAGCTAATTCAATTTCAAGTAGTAAATAGTCCTAAATAGAAAATTATCAGAGTTTTTTTTGGATCGGGAAAACGATTCGATAAGTAGATAATAAATTTCAAATAAAAATTATTGAAATACTGTGGAGAAAACTCATTGGGAAAGGAGAGAAGTGTTAAGAGAGGGCAAACCACCCATCAAGCAACTAAGGTTGTCGAATAGTTGGAAATCTTCGGATATCCGGATCCGATATCCAAACCGAAAATTTCCGGATATCCGGCCTTTTTCGGATCCGGATAACCATCCGACAACCTTACTAGCAACAACAAATCATTTTACTTTAATCTTTTTTACCCATTCATACTCTTCTTGAAATTAAGGTTGGTCCACGACCCCTATTCCCAACAATGATTTTTAGACCATTCCCACATCCCAATCCCATCAGTTCATTTTCCGACATTTATGTTCCTCGAAAAAGTTCTCCCCGAAGGATCAGGGACCAATTCTGCTTCAAACACACCCTTCTGTTTCTTTTGTCCCCCCACTATTATTTTCTTCAATTTAAATTTCTACCTTATAAACAACTCTAGTAAAAGCCAAAGGAAAATTTTTTTCTTCTTTAGTAGTTTTCTTATTCCAATATTTATTCATTCCATTTCTATTTTGAATACTTGAACAATCCATCGGAAGATTTTCTTCTTCTAACGGATCTCCAATTTTAATTTTATTCATTGCCGCATACACAAAATCTCCCCCAAAAATTCTCTCACAGTCCAAATCCTTCCATTTACTCTCCCAATCAGAACTCCATTCAACAACTAATTCTTCCTCTTCTTTTTGTTCATATTGAATTGTTGTAGAAGATAAAATTGAATTTTTAATATTTAAAATTAAAGTATTGATAATTATGTAGTTGAAAATTAAAAAGCTGAGAAGAAATAATAAAAGCAATTCTTTCCGATAAAATTCTATTCTCGTTGAATGTTTTAAATTTGAAAAGCCAAACATTTTTTCTTTAAAAATAAATTGTTTTCTGAATATATTTGATAGGAACAGTCAGAGGTGAGTCGGAATTCCGATTTCCAAGTTCCGATTTCCGGCGTTTTTTACCTTCCGATTTCCGAATAAATTTTGATTTGCGATTTCCGAGTTCCGACCTTTGAGCCAATTCCAGTTTCCGTCTCTTCCGATTTCCGACATTTCTGACTGTTCCGACCCACCTCTGGAAATAAGTGAAAGTGTATTACGAATTTTATTAAAAAAAAAAGGTTTTTACTAATTTTTGAATATTTTAGTTAAAAAGATTCATTAAATAAAAGATGCTGACAATTTTAATTTTTTTTAAATTTAAATTAATTAAAAAATTAATTTTTTTAATTAAATAAACAATTTTAATTAACAATTAATTTAATAATTTAATAAAAATTTTAAAAATATTAATAAAAAATGTTGACTTAAGTCAAATTTTAATTAATTTTAAGAATTATTTTTGTTAAAATTTTATAAGAAAATTTGAAAAATAAACAAGCAAAAAAATAATCGTCAGATGAAGTGGTTAGTGCTAAAAACTCGAAAAATCGGAAAAACTCGAATCGTATACTTAATCAGCCCGATTTCTAATTAATATCCCTTTCCTTAACTCAGATTTATTAAAAATTAAAGAAAAAGAATTGCGAATTTAAAATATTTTTAGAATGAACTTTTATTTTTGTATTTTAAAGAATTGATAAGTATTTTTATTAAAACATTTAAATCTTTTAGGACAGAATAAATGATAAAATTATTTGCCTATTTACATAAATGAATAATAAAAACGGCCACATTTATTTTACATAAAATATTTAAAAAAATAAAAGAATTTAGGGAATGTTTGTGAATATTGTTGGATTTGGGTTATAATCCAGATTGTTTTATTATTCATCGGATTTTGGTCGAAAAGTGTCAGGATTTTGTGGATACTGTTGCATTTCTTTCTCTCATATATTCCCTGAATGTTCTCGACATTAGATGAGATAACAAACCAAATACCGATTCATTCGACTCGATTTTATGAACTGAGTCGGATAGTACAAAAATTTTGAATAGGTATTTGGAAGGAGAGCTGTTCCGAAACAAAATATTTAAAAATTAGAAATCGAAAGGAGTTAGAAAATATCGAAAATTCAAACAGCTCTGGTTATGATCGCTTAACTGAAATTTCAATTAATGAAGTAATTTCGGGTACCCGAATTTGGTAAATTTTAATAATCCTTGTAAACATTAATAATAATAAATAGTTTTTAAATTGAAATTTTCAGATTAAAATTTTAATACGAAAGAGCATTTTCATATTTAAATAAAATATGAATGAAAAAAGAAAAAAAAACAACGAACTATTGATAATAAATAAATTTTTACTGAGGTTTTTTCATCGATTTTTTTAAAAATATTTTGGGTGTGGTGGTTATTCAAAATGAATACCTACCCATTATTAATTCATACAAAATTTATGAGAGATGAAAGATTTCTAAAAATAATTTTTTCTAAACTACAAAAATCTCTCTCGAATAAATTCCATTTATAATTCACATCTGTGAGTAAAGATTATCCACACATCTCTTTCAAATATAATGCAAGTTTTTTATGGGTATACCCCCGATATACCGCGAGCCCAACCTACCGCCGCGCTATAACTTTGTTCAAAATTGTTGAATCCGTGGCGCCCTTTTATGGTTCGATGAGGCTCGACCAGCTGAATCGAACCATACCAGGGCACCGCGGATTTGACAATTTTGAACAAAGTTATAGCTCGGCGGCAGGTTGGGTTGCGGTACACTGTCACCTGTTCCCTTTTTTAATTACCAACAAAAAATTTAAATTCAATCTTCATTCCATCGTCACTATTTTCAAAGATTAAAATAAATAAATGGATATTTTATATTGCGAAACACCAAATTTAGCTATATTTAGGTATTATTTTTCCTTACAAAGAAAAATATTTTTTCTTCTAATTATTTTCTTTCTAAAAATAAATTTACTCGTCATCAAATTTAGAAATAAAAATTTAAAAAATATTTTTTTTAATTTTAAACTTTATTAAACCCTCAGTAAGATAGAGAGATTAATGAACATCTGTTCATTAATCTCTCTCTAACTGAGGGGGCGTAAAGCCTTTCAAACCATTTCTTTTTAATCAATTAAAGCCTAAATCGGTCTTTAAATGTTTATATAAAACCAAAACATTTTCCAACATATCTTTGTAATTTTTTAAAAAATGTTTCCACCACCGGCAAAAAAGACATTTTGTTCAATTTGTAATAATGAAGTTGATACTTTTGATCAAAAAGTTGCCTTAGAAAGACATATCGGTAAGATTTAATTTTAATTTTATTTGGATAAAAATCTGTCTAAATCTACCCTTCGTATTATTATTTTTATACGTTTGGAATGAAAATAAGGCAACAAAAAGTTTTTATTAATGGATCGGAGACTGGATTGGGAGGATCGAACGATATATATCTCAAAAAATATCAATCTAGATACCCAATGTTTTTGTCCTCTGTTATCCGCCTTATGCTTTACTCACATAAAAGTTTACGACAGAACATAGCATTCAAAATCACGAGAGGCAAAATCGCACGCGGTTTTCTCTCCTTTTCCATATCTTTTCCGCACAAATTGCACGCGATCTTTATGCAAACACAGCATTAGATATTTTTCCTCAGTATCTGGATTAATCATTATTTTATCACAATGTATAATTAATTTTTCTAATAAATTGATAGATCTCACAGTTAAAGCAAATGAATAAATATATAAATCAAAAATATATATGATGTGTATTTTTGTTAAATAAAGAATTGGATTGGTTTTGAGGGAATGTGGTTAGATATCAGGGATGTGCCGTTTCGCCTTACATCTTTCGTCAGATTTTCGCCTTTTTAAACTTTCACCTTTCATGTTTTGCTTTTTAAAATTTGTTTCGGCACACCCCTGTAAGATATACATACTCTACATATTTATTGTTAAAAAATAGTTGTGAATTGCAAATATAATTTCTCTTGGCCTCCAAATCCAACTATTTTCCATATCACTTGACGCGCCTAAAAATTTTTTTGATTTTAAGTATTTTTAAGATATTAGAGCGTTCATTAAACTGGAACTGAACGGAAAAATGCGATACTGGATAAGAAATACCATTTTAAATAACCAAAAAATATAGGGATTTTTGTAGCATTTAGAGAAACTAAATCAGAAAATTTTGTTTTATCGACACATTTTATTTTAAAAACTTAATTTCTTACATTTTATCGTCGATTACCACCAAATATCATGAGAATAAACCAGAAGATTTGGACAATATCCATAAAGAGAGCAAGAACTGCAAAAATATACTCTTCTGGAGAAAGCTCATACTTCTTTCCACCCATTATCATCTGAAAAATTGTTTAATTAAAGAAAAATTTTTATTAAACCAAAAAAATTTTATCAAACCTGAATATCAATAGCAAGCCAAATCAAAAATAAGAATGCCCCGATAGTTGCATAGACCACATAGAGAGTACTAATTTGCCAGCTGAATATACCGATTAAAGCAATTATGAATCCGAACATTGCAAGACAAAATGTTGCCATACACATAATTCCCATACAACTTAAAACGAAATTTTAATTAAATTTTATAATCGTAGTTTTTAGATAGTCTTCGATCTTGCTTCAGACTATATTTTCTAGACACAAGTTTGGACAAAAACAAGAAATGAAATCAATATATTATTTAAAACACCCAATAATGATCGAAATTCATTGTAATCTTGACAAAACAATAAAACCGTTAAAATTTAATTTCACAATTTATCCCCACTCAAACTTAAATCCTGTCAATCTCGTAAAATTACAAAAATTATTTTAAAAAACCTAGTCAAATCTCTGTCAGTGACGGTAGCAAAAAGAGAAACGCCACCACAAGCAGCAGCCGTTATCATAAAACACATGAGAACGCTCGAAAAGTTATTATATGCAGTTATCTCCATATTCAAGAAGCCGATTGAAACAGTCTAAAATATAATTTGAAGAGAAAAAAATTAAAAAAACAAACCAGTATAGCCAAGCAAATAATGTTCGTAGGGAAAGAACGGCGAACAGACTCACAGCAAATCAATGCGATATATACGATAAGGAAGGTAACACTAAAATGTTGGATTTTAAGGAAATCTAAATGAACTTTACAAAACATAGATTAAGAAAGGGAATCTTAAAGGTATCAGAAAGAAAAACAATTTTGTCTTTAATTCCCGATTTATATAAAAATTTTTAAATAAAATTTAAAAACAAACTATGCAAGCAAATAAAGAACAAAATTTCCACGAACAAATTGCATCGTCGGTTCATGGAAAAACGGAAAAGCGCCCATCATTGCCACAACACTGAGCTGCAAAAAAGAAACATTAGTGAAGTTGTTCGGATTTCCAATTTGATCTTTCAATAAATGAGGCCTGGACGAGAGGAAGGAGAAAGACGGAAAGAATTTAAAGTACTAACTGTAAGAAGTCATTCCAACAAACCAAAAATTCCAAGAATCTACCCCCTACTCGAACTTAATAGTAGAGATCGAGATTCTTAAAAAGCCTGGGCCCGTTCCTGGACTCCCGATTTGATTCAATGACCTGGACCGGATCTTGGGCCTGTAGTCCAGGAAAAACCCTGGCCCAGGAAAAACCCAGGAAGGTACTGCCTGGACATGGACTCTTGGAAAGGAAAATCCCAGGTATTGGCCATTGTCTACTTAACAGAAATACAAAACAAACCATGACTGCGACAAGAATGAAGACTTTTCGAACAAAAGCAGCACGAATGGACTGCTCGTTGAAGTTCATTGTGTATTTGGGCGCTCCAGTATCTCCCCCTTGTTCAGCTTGATGAGGAGTTGAACCATATTGGGGAGCTCCATATTGGGGAGCTAAAAGAATTATTAAATAAAATATAAAATTAAAAACCAGGATATTGAACGTTCCATCCAGGCTGTTGTGGATAAGACATTATTTTAGTTGTAATTAATTGTTGAATAAATAATTCTAAATTTTGAGTTAAAAATTAGTTAAATTAATTATTGGCAGAGTTAAAAATTTAAAGATAAAAAAGTTGATGACTAATGCAAAAAATGAACGAACAAAAACAAAAAGCGAGAGCACTAGAAAAAGCTGGAAATTTCGAAATCATTGATGACGACAATAGAATATTTTGACAATTAGTCTAAAGGACAATTGGACAGTAGACTTTTAGGCCAATGACAATTGGACTATGTTTTTACGTGCTGGGACAAAAACTGAAACGGACAAAACAAGGAACGACAAAACACGGTCGGACAAAACATGGAAAAGACAAAACACGGAACGACCAAAATACGGAATATACCAAAACACGGAACAGACAAAACACAGTCTTTCCATAACACGGAACGGACAGAGCATGGAATGAACAAAACACGGAATACTTTTAAAATCATATTTTTTTAAAATATGTATGATTTTATTTAAATCAGAATATTTAAAAAAACAGAATTTAAAAATAATTCTGAAAAATTTTAAAAATATTCTCTGGGCCGTATTTTGGTCGTTCCGTGATTTGGTTTTGGTACGGATTTAAAAATTTTAATCGAATCATTTTAAAAATTTATTTTTACTTTTTATTTGTTCATTAAGCACAATGAAAGTAATCCCTTGGAAATTTAAATATTAATTTCATTAATAAAAATGTTTTGAAAAAATTTGCGGACAGATTTTGCGGACTTTAGGCAATTTCATTTTAAATCTTCTTTATCGCTTTGTTGAAAAATTCCTGAAGGTCAACAGCAAACCAGATTCATTTTTTGACCTTGGTTTGCGTATCTCATCTCTCCAACTTTTCCTTTAAAAAAGATATTTCATGTAAATTTAAGCAATTTTTCATCCAAAATACTTACTCTACTAATTAATATAAATGTTTAAAATAATTATTTTTATTTTTATTTATTTTCCATTTCCTTTTAATTTTTCTCCTCTATCTGATTTTATTGATGAAGAGAATGATATGTTAGTTCTTGTCCCTCTTGGTGAGGATCCAAAAACAGCAAAAAATCGGATAATTATTCCTCAAGGTTCTTGCTTTTCTTTAAATGTAAAACAAAGAATTTCAATCTAACTCATCCGAAACTTATAAAGAAAAAATCCGAAACTCATCTAAAACTCTTAATTTGTTTATCTAACCTTTATGCGATTTTTAAATTTGGAATTAACGCTTAGGCGGGGATTAAACGATCTAAAAGAGAAAAAGAGAAAGCATTAGTCGATGCCCCGGTAACTCAGTGGTAGATTTAATTAATAAAAATTAATTAACACTATAGTGAGCGAAAGCGCCTAGCAACAACTAGCAGGTGGTCGCAGGTTCGAATCCTGCCCGGTGGCTAAACTTTTGCAAACTCTTTCTTTAATTGTTTATTCATTTTCTATTTTTTAACATTCATAGCGAAGGGAAACCATCGCCTCGCAGTATTGCCATGTCTAATTGCTGGCCTAGGAATTTATGAGCATGGAAAGACATTTACAAAAGGCAACTTTCATTATAATTGTAAAAACGGCACTGCTGAGGTTATTGGTATGTTGGAATTTAATAATGGGGTTGGAGGATTTCTAAATGGAGGATTTATCATGAAAAAATGGGGAATCGTTTGTTATGTAAAAAAATCCAAATAAGACGAAAATTCTGAAAATTTCAAATAAAATTAGTATTTTAAAATATGAAACTGAAAATTAAAAAAAGGAGGAATTGGCTTTTAAATGGATATTTTTTAGTTTTAAAAAAAGACATTCTCAATTAGAGAGCGGCCTGGGTCTGGATCAAGGCCTGAATTTTTCCTGACCCAAAGTCCAGGCCCAGGCATTTTTTGACCTTTCTGGATTTTTTCTGGACTACAGGCCCAGGATCCGGCCCAGGTCAATAAATCAAACCCAGAGTCCTTTCAAAAAGTCCGATCTCTATTCTTAATTAAAAGGAGGAAATGGAAAATTTACCCAAATATAAACTTAATTTAATCAAAAAAATATTTTAAAATTTATAGCATGTGTTTCAGATGATATGTCCGTTATTCAGGTACTAATAAATTAATAAAATTAAAAAAGAATAAAAAGATTGGGCGAACATTTCTCAAAGAAGGGATTAGACATCGTTGTGAAGTGAAAGGACAAACTGTTACTTACGAACAAAGTTTGGGAAATAAAAAAATAAATTTATACATATTTTATTTATTAGAATCAACCTGTTACGAAAACGGAATACATTATGATATTGGTGTTTAAATAAATTTTATTATTTTGGTAGGGTTATCCTCCAACATTTTATTCTTTCATGCTATTCTCTTCTCCTTTAGCAGAAAGGTGAAGAGAAAGAGATAGAAGCTTCGATTATGGCGTTTGGCCGTTCTCTAATAGAATCTGATAAATCCAAGAAAAATTTTTAAAACCAGCAGGGGGATACATATTTAATGAAATGAGAAAAGAAACATGAAAAAAATGTGGACGAATAACCCGATACATATTACCTAATTTTTAAAAATAAATTTATTAAAGGTGAGACATTTAAAAATGGCTCTTTTCAACTTATTTGTAAAGAAAATGGAGTTGCTGTAAAAGGTATTGTACAGTTGGACCTCGATTTTACCTACAAACGGGGCTGAAAACTGTACATATCGAAGTTGTATCCATTATTGACGATCACTCTTCCCATTCAATTTTCGACCAAAATTAAAATTATCTTAAATCGAGGTTGTATTTTCCGACTATTCAAAATTATTTTAAATAAATATACTTTTTTTAATTTTTTATGTTGTTTTCTACTGAACTCAACTAAAGAAGCTGTAATTTTACTTGGTGAATCGAGAATTATATCTGATAGAAGGCATAGCTGTGAACTAACCGAGAATGGAAAAATACGCTATATAATTAATTGTAAATAAATTTTTGATGAGGCTAAGTTAGTCTTGAGGCTAAGTTAGTCTTGGATATCTTGAAAGGTGGGGGCCGGATTTCGAAAACTTCTTGGGTCGGAATTAGTGTCGTAAAAAGCTGTACTTATTGTAACGTATGCCATTCCAGTTTAGGATTCAACCACAGTCCCCAAGATGGGTGAGGGTTCTTCCTCGGAGTCATTGTCTCCAGTGCCACCATCACTTTGTAGCTAAAACCCCCATAACCTCCATCCTCTTGAAAACAACCCTCGTTTTTATAAATGCCAAACTCTATTCTAAATCTTTAATTGTTTTGGATAATATAGCCTTTCTATTTTAATAGTTATTGGTTGCTTTAACTCAAATGGAAGTGCTGTTTACAAGCCAGGACAAATTTGGACAGAAAAGCATATTCGTTATCAATGTAGCAGGGAAGGGATGACCAAAGTTTTAGGTGAATTTGGATGAAAAAAAAATAATTAAAAAATATTTGAAGGATGTGTTGACGGAAATGGACTTTTTATTGAACTTGGACATGATGTCTTGATGGGTGGTACTGTCCATCGTTGTTATAGAATTAAAAACACAACCTTTTATCATCGGTAAACACTCATTTTATCAAACCCAAAATTCTGACACCAAGGTACCAAGATTTTTGGATCATGATCCGGTTTACCGCGATCCTCTGTTTGATTTTGATAAGACGGATACCTTAGTGAAGGTCGAGACCCGGTCTCGGTTCTCGAGTCGGGAAATTTTTCGGGTTTTTTGAGCTCTAGGTCTCGGGGTTGATTCTCGGTCTCGACTCGGCTTTTTTTACTCCCAACTATCGCTAGTATGGTCAAAACATATTTTTTAAATTTAATTCAGTTTTCAATGTCAAAAAGATTTTTCATTAACCGAATGTGTACATGCAAATTTTCTTCCAACTCAGGAACCTCAAAGCGAGAAAAGTGAAATTAATGTTGTTGAACTTAAAAATAATAAATAAAATGTTAAAATTGTGTTTTTAAAAATTTTTGTATTGAAATTTTAATTTATTTAATTATTTATTATTCATTTTGCTTTAAATAACTTATTAATAAATATTTTTATTTCCTTAATAATTTAACGATAATTGTATTACCCAATAGATAAATTAAATAAAAAATAAAATTAATTTAGAATACCTATGTATATTATTTTCTTAAATATTATTTTCTTTTTCCTTGTTCAACACATTAACTAATTATTTTAAAAAATCTTTTCTTTTTTCCATTTTTCCTTATAAATAATTAAATTTCACGCCTTTATTGTCTCTAAACAAAAAATAATATTTATAATGACTTTTGTCAAATTAATAATTCCTAGGCCAAGTTAACTAGCAAAAAAACTTTCCTGTTCTTTTTACAAGTTTTTTGAACACACTTAGACAATTTTTTTGTTTTTATATTTTCTGGCATGGCGTGAGTTAAAACAATTCTTTTAAAAAATTATTTTTCTTGTGGATATTTTTGCTTATTTTACTACTTAATTCCATCTGAGATTCACTCCAATAATTATTTTTTTATACACCGCATTTCCTGAAACAGTACGGCCGGCCATCCTATTTCTCAACCTTACTCTGGCAGGTCGTACTAATACCAGGGGCGGTACTAATAAAGGGGGCCGTATTAATGCAGTAAATACGGTAATTTATTTTCTATTAAATTTTTATTTTTTTTTTGCAATCATATTTTGAAACTTAACTTTATCTGCTTACCCATTTATTTTTAATAAAAGTTTTGTTCTGTATATGACACATTCTTAAATTAATTTATAAGTGTTCTACCTTCTCTTATTTTTAATTTTCCAAACGAAAATAAATTTTTAAAAATATTTATTTAGTAAGTTTTTTGGTCTTTTGTCTATAATAGGAAATATAATCTAAAAAAATTTATTTTTAAATTTATGCTTCTATAATATGTAGCAGGGGTGGCTCTCGTCTCGTATCTCGTGTCTCGTATCTCGTGAAATCTCGTGTTTTTTAGAGGTCTCGTATCTCGTGTCTCGTATCTCGTATTTTGCCACGAGACACGAGATATTTTCAATCTATTTTAGAAAAAATGTCAAAAATTTGGGACTATTTTAAGATCCTAGAATTAGGAAAAAAGGAAGATATCTTGCCCATTGGCCTTCCAAAATTTCCAAAATTTTTGCCTGCGGCGCTGAAATGGTGAATTTTTTAGCCTACGGCCTTCTAAAATTCCCAAAATTTTCGCCGCGGCGCTGAAATGGTGAATTTTTTAGCCTACGGCCTTCCAAAATTCTCAAAATTTTCGCCTGCGGCGCTGGAATGGAAAAGGGTTAAAGTGGTCAAGCGGGAAATATCGGTGGACCTGAAGGGATAGAAGAATATCGGGCGATTTACTGGGTTTAGGGTTAATTTAAATAGATATGAGGGTTCGGATGGATATCTGGGAATCTATCAAGCTCGAGAGATATTAATGGATTGTGAGAATTTAATAGGTTATCTAGTGACTACGCGGATATTATGAAGATATTCATATGAAGAAACCTCCATCATGGAGTGGCTCAGAAAGACTTCGACTCCTTATCGTGTGTTCATATCTCCCGCTATCCGATATCACTTAAATCAGTTGACAAACTCAATAATCCCATGGTATCTGTTTCTTTAACTATCCTTGATCCTTCCAAATCTCATGATTCTCCGTAATCCCCGATATTTAATAAATCCCCTTGATCCTCTAAATCCCCAATATCCTTCATAATCCACCTGTAATAATTATCCATTCAAACCCCTATATTTTCGACTTTACAATTTTATGTATGAAAAATTTTGAAAAACAATAAATACTTAATATCTCGTATCTCGTGTCTCGTATCTCGTGAAATCTCGTATTTTTTGAGAGATCTCGTATCTCGTTTTATCTCGTTCTCGTATTTTTTTGAGAATCTCGTATCTCGTGAATCTCGTGTCTCGTATTTTATGGCACTCGCGCCACCCCTGATATGTAGTATTGTGCCAATTCTCTGGTTATTTTCTTTTAAGGTTATTTTCTTTTAAGAGAACACACATTTTTAACAGAAAATATTTTTCGGACTTCGAGTTGAGTTTTTAAAAGAATTTTTCGGATCGGGTTGGATGATCAAAATTTCGCTTCGTTTCGCTCTATCGTGCCCTTTTTTCCATTTATTTCGTTTCGTCCGAAACAAGCTAATTTCTTTGCTTTTACGTTTCAATTCGAAATAAAATTTTTTTTTATTTCGATTATCCCTTCGGGTTCCGAGTCGAAAGAAGGACGGGTTTCCCCTTTTCTGGTTTTTACTTTTTGTTTGAAACCAACGTCATTTAATTTTTTAGTCTATGTATGCAAAATTAAAATATTAAAAAATCATAAAATTTCTTTTTTATTTTTAAAGTGCTTCAAAAGAAACAATTAATTTTTAGTAAATAAAAGGTTTCTATAATTATTATAGATGAAGAATTAAAAGATTTTTTATGAAAAAATGACATCAATTTTTGACTTTTATTTTGCAAATCTTTGCGTTCTTTTATTTTAATAATAATTCTTGTAAAGTTTATTCAAAAATAAATTTTTGGATTCATTCACAAATTAATTTAGTTATACAAGGGATAATTTTAGTTTCCATCTGTCAGAACAACACAATCTATTTTTCATTTATTCTGTATGGTATTTTACAAATTATCACAAAGCAAAAATTGATAAGTTAAAGTATTAAAGTTTAAATAAAAATAAATTTAAAATAAACTTTAATTTAAAAATTAAAGTTCACATTCACAAGAATATGAGCAATTAAAATAAGCTCAAGTAATTCTTACTCTGTTTTACATATTAGAAATCCTGCCGTCTCAATTTCCCGAAAATTTCTGAGAATCAGGATTTGTAAAAATTCAAGAATTCTTGATTCTCATGTCCGGAAAATTTGATTTTGATGTCCTGAAAAATATTTTTATTCTCTTCCTTCGTGCTCTAATTTTTTTTATTCATTAGGGTTTCAACGGAAGTTCCGGAATTTTCCGGCTCCCGGATCCGGAACTCAAATTGGATGCGGTTCTAGTTCCGGTCAAAATTTCGGTTCCGTTGAAACCCTACTATTCATGTTTCCCTCGTTTTATTTTTTCATAAACATTTCCCTGATTATTTTATTCAGTTATTTTCTGATTTATTTAAATCTCTATTTTCTTTTCGCTCTATTTTTTATTTCACGTTAGAAGATTTTATTTTAAAAACATCTTAAATTTCCTTCAAATAATTTTTTAAATTTTTCCTCAAAAAATATTTTCCTTATTGATTTCTCTTTATTTTAAATAAACTTTTGATCATTTTTAATATTTTATTTTTATTATGAAGAAGCTTAAAAAGCGAACACACAATTTTTTTGTTGTCAAAAAATATTTTTATTTATTTATTCTCCCATATTTTTTCTTCTTTCATTTTTTTACTTTTTTTAAAAAAAATTTTTTCTCCCCATTTTTCCCTCTTTTGAGTCAATTAGGGAAAAAAATCTGGCGGCAGAAGCAAAAAAATATTTATTTTTAAAATCTTCCCTCATTTTTTCTTTTAAAAAGGCCAAAAGTGTTGTTTTTGGACACATTTGTTGGACACATACTTTTAAGTCTCCAAAGAGATTTTTGTCTTTAGGCGAATATTTTAAAAAAATTATAACACAAAAAAACAAGATTGTGACATCCTAAAATTTTTTAAAAATTTTCCATGTTTTTCGATTTTATGTTTTTGATTGGAATTTTCAATTGCCAAAATCGAAATTTTAATTTCGGATTTAAAATAGAGACCGGATCGAGACGAGATCTCAAACGAAAATCTCGATTATCGAGATCAGATTTTTCGAGACATCTCGTACTACATATTCTCGTACGATACTCCCATTTCTGTTTCTAATTTCAAATTTCGATTTGCTTGCACTCGTATTTCATATTTTTTTTAGATTTTACGAGGACGAACTCTAGTACGATCTTTGCCAACTCTATTGTCAAATCCGTCTACCGCTCGAATAATTACCCTCTCTCAAATAAAAAAAATCTTTTTGCCCCTCTCAAATAATTACCCCGTCCAGCTAGAGGTTGAGACAATAATTACACAGGGTAATTATTCCAGCATATACGGTAATCATAATTTACATTTGCTCTCGTTTTTATATAAAATCGTGCCGAATAATTCATTAAAATTTTTTTGTGAATTTCCTTCTTTCATTATTATTTTCTCAAAAATCCAAAAAATATCTTCAACTTTAAAGAAAAAGAAAAACTTTCTGTTGACATCAACAAACAAAAAATATTTTTACACAATTTCTTTCGAATAAATTTTTTGTTAATTGTTATGGGAAAATTAATGAAAAAAGTGGAAATAAATGTTCAGAAATGGCAAAATAAAAAGTCACTCATTTTCGTTAAAGGAAATTACTTTTAACATTTCCAAAAAATTCCTACTGTTTTATCTTATTTTGTGCATTAAAATTAATTATATTGAATGGGCAAAAATATTTAAAAAAAAGTTTATTTGGGTACACCCCAACGTACCGCGAGGTCAACGTACCGCAGAGCTAACTTCGTTCAAAATGGTCGAATCCTGGACGCCATGAGCCCGTTTATTTATATTTTATGTACCTAAAAACACTTTCTTGCTCCCTGTTTCGAACTTTTCCTCATTTCGTATTTCGAAATCCGTTTCAGTTATCCGTGCTGCGTGATATTATTTAATTAGAGAAAGGACAGAGACGAGATCTCAAACAAAAATCTCAGCTATCGAGATTTATATCTTTCTGTGTCTCGGTTTTCATATGAGAATCGAAACATCTCGAAAAGCTAATATAACGTTCATGCTGTGGAAAAAGGGAGATGGAATTGAACCATCACGAAAAGGGCCCAAACCGAAGCACAACCGACTGTGCCACCATCCAACCCGGTGAAGGGTTATTTATTTTCATCTATTTTCTCGTTGCATCTTTAGTATCAACCTTTATAATACTAGTAAACTTTGACTTGTTCGTATCTATCAGAGGTGAATCAGAAAAAAGTTAAAGGTTCACCTCTACATATCTATAAATACAACTTTGACGTAAATAAAAATACAAATTCTAAAATTTTATTAAAACTTTAACTTTTAAAATTTTTTTCTCGAAAAAAAAATTCATTTCCCTCAAACAAACATTTAAAAATATTTTAAGTAAAACTTTTTTTATTCTTTAACATTAGTGGGAAAAATGAAACTTCCATCTGTGGCCTTTTTTGTGACTTTTCCCATAAAACATTTACTGGTTCTCGATGAATTTAGCCTTTTTTTTTAAATTTTTTGACGATATTAATTTTAATTTTTGAGATAATAGATTTTCACAATATAAAACAAAATTTTTAATATTAAACTATATCTAAATAGCATAGTTTCGTATCAAACCTCAACACAATTTTATGATTTTATCTCTTTTTGGTCCCCGAACTCTATTCCCTGCCCACGCAGGTGATGATTTTTTAGACATTTCTTAACTTCATACAGTCAATTACTCGAGATCTTTTCTCCAAAAATGTTGCCCCGGTTTGCCATTACGGCTTTTTGCCATAACGGCGCGCTACGGTTCTCTTTGACGGCTCGGCAATCTACCCTAACCTCCTACATTCCCCTAAAGTGATGTTGTGTTCATAAAGTGATGTTGTGCTGAACGTAGAAGAAGCTAATTCAATGGGAGAAGCAAATTTCGGTTCCCGGCTTTAGCTAAGTTCTTGTTATCAAAATACCTAGTAATATTTTTATTTTTTACAGATTTATTTTTAATTTTTATCTCCTTATTTTTAATTCCTTCAGTATTTATGTTTATCCTCCCCACCATATTATTTTCATTTTCCACATTTGCCAGTTTCACTTTTCTCTCATTCTCAAGTGCCACTCCAAGACAAATACAAGTACCTGGTTCAATACTCATTGGGGGCCTATTTCCAATACACGAGAGTAGCAGAAATACTTCTGGTTCTACACTTTGTGGGCGAATAAAGGCTGATCAGGGAGTTCAACGGATGGTAGATTTTTTTGAAATTAGACATCTCTTTTTAATTTTAAAGGTGTCTATGCTATATGCATTAGAGCAAATCAACAAAAACCATCGTATTTTGCCTGGGATTCAATTGGGAGCACAAATTCTAGATTCATGGTGAATTTAAAAAATATTGGCAGACTTTTGCGGACAGATTTTTGCGGACAGACTTTTGCGGACAGACTTTTGCGGACAATTTTTTGCGGACAGTTTTTTGCGGACAGTTTTTTGCGGACAGATTTTTTGTGGAAAGACTTTTGCGAACAGTTTTTGCGGACAGATTTTTGCGGATTTTTTTTCTGCAAAAATTTTGCGTACTAAAGCAAATTATAAGACTTTTCTAAATTTTCAAGTTCTGTGGAAACCCATGCATTAGAACAAAGTTTACAATTTATCCAGTCTGTATGTGCAGAAGGAGAACAACAATATTTTAATGAAAAATTATCTTTAATATCTGAGCAAAGTAAAGGGAGAAAAATAGCTGCAGTTATAGGGGCTGCTTCTTCTCAAGTAAATTACTATTAAAAATTTCTTTTTAATGGATAAAAAATTTATTGGAAATGATAGCCTGACTTAAAGAATAAAAAATAATTTTAGGTCTCAGTTATGGTCTCATCAATGCTACAACTTTTTAAAGTACATAAATTATATTTTTCTAATTAATCCAAAAAAATTTCAAAAAAAGATTCCTATGGTCAGCTATTCTTCAACGGGCGTTGAATTAAGTGAAAAGCCTCGGTGAATTTTCCTAAAAATAAATTTTGAGAGAAAATTTTTCCTTTGTTTTCCAGTTTTGCCTATTTCTCTCGTGTTGTGCCCCCAGACAATTTACAGGCTAAAGCTATGGCACACTTGGTAAAAAAACTTTTTGATGCCCTTATTTTTAAATTAAAAGGTCGCCGCTCTAGGTTGGAATTATGTCCATGCAATTGTAGATACTGGAAGTTATGGGGAAAGGGGAATGGATAGTTTTCGAGCTGCTGCTACAGATTTGAATATTTGTATAGATGGAGATGTTCATAAAATAAGTAGAAGATGGACTGATGAACAATACGAGTAGGGGAATTTTTTTGAGGATTCTTAAAAATTGGATAGTATCCCAAGAATTTTCATTATATTATGACTCGGACAGGATTTTAAGGTCCTAACCCTATAAAAAGAATTCTGGGACCCGTGTCTCTGGGGTCTTGGATCATGCCCAGAGTTTCGGATGTTTACAGAATAATATAATCCTTAATCATGTTTGGATCCTTTCCATCTTTGTCTAACTCATAATAAATATTTTCAATATCAGATTTAATAGATCTGAATCATAATAATATAAAACAAATAATTTCAGAGAATTACTTTTACGAATGAGAAATTCAAAAGCTAGAGGTGTTGTTATGTTTGTGGATGAAGATAATTTGCGTCGTTTTCTTTCTAATCTTAAAAGGCTAATAATACTTTCAGAAAAGACTAAACCTTATATGCCTAGACTTAGAAATTATTTTTGGTAATTATTTTAGAAATTACTATTTAATTAAAAAAGTTTAACTGACAAGAGAAGAGAGGTGCGGATTGGGATCTCACGCGCGTTTTGTGGGATCTAGTCGCTACCAAATCATAAAATTATACTATACTGATTTGACTATATTATACCACTAGAATTTGATCCACCCCAATTTTCAGCCATTTTTCAGAATCTGGCTAACAGCTGACGTGGGGACTATTGGGGAATGGGGATGGGGTCCACACCAGGGGTGAGCGCAAGAGACAATCTCAAAAAACGCAAGACGCAAAACGCAACGCAAGGCCAAAATTTAACGCAAATAACGCAAGAGCAAAACGCAAAACGCAAGAACGCAAAATTGGCAAAAAAATTTTTTAAATTAAGTATTAGCCATTTTTCAGTTAAAAATTGATGTATTACTATAAGTTAGCGAGTCATAATTAAGTTTGAGGTACAAGTAAGTTGGATGAGTAATGTTTTGGAGAGAGATAAAGGATTTAGAGGGATTATGAAGGATATCAGAGGATTTAGAACGATCAAGGTGGTTAACGAAGTGGCTGGGGATTACGCAGATTATCATGTAATTTGGAGCGATCAAGTAAATTTAAAAAGATCCCATGGGATTACTAAAGGATGTCGAGTGAGTTAGGGAGATAACGGAGGATAAAGGGCTATCAGTATTTATAAATTGATTCCGGGGATATCAGGTAATTTGGAGGATAACTTGAGATCTGAGCTCCAGATAATGAACCGATATTTTTTGAGCCGTTTCAAGATGTAAAATTGGTATTTAAATATTTAAATACCCTATTTTAGCGCCGCAGGCAAAAATTTTGAGAATTTTGGCAAGCAGAAGCTAGATTTCTTCCAATTTTTGCCCTCAGATTAGAAGAATAACAGGGATTTGAGCATATAGTAGTTATCAGGGATTGAAGAGATATAGCAGGATATCCCTACAAACCCCCGATATCTTTTTCAATCAACCTTAATCGCAGTAAATCGACCGATAGTCTTCTATCACCTCATTTCCCCCGATATTTTCCACTTAGCCACTTTATCCCTCCTCCATTTTCTGCGCCGCAAGCGAAAATTTTAAGAATTTTGGAAGGCCAGAAAGCAAAATTTCTTCCTTTTTTAGCGCCGCAGGCGAAAATTTTTAGAATTTTTAGAAAAATTTTTAGAACCACACTAATGACTAATGGGGACTATATATCCCCCTTAAAATACCCTTTTGTATGTGACGATTTTTAGCCCCTAGGGGTATCTAATAGTTCAGGGGCTTCTTAAGGGGTTCATTTGCAACTTTCAAGAAAACTAAACTTACCTAATATTCTTAAAATATTAAAGGTTCGTAGCAAGTGACAGTTGGGGTGTAAAAGTTTCTGTAGTAAAAGGCTTTGAGCATATTATCAATGGAGCAATAACTGTTGCCCCAAAAGTCAGATATCTTCAAGGTATAAAGAATAATAATTTTTACATTAAAATACCTATGACTTATGATTTTGAAGGGTTTGCTGAATATTTTGCAGCTTTGGGACCTTCAAATACTTTTCTTAGTGAATATTGGCAATTTATGAATTGTTCCGAACATTTTCATCCAAATTTTGGATCTTGTTTCAAAACCCAAAGGTTTCTAAAAAATAAATTTTTTTACTTAAAAGAATTTTTAAGTCATTATTTTAAACAAGAGGCTTATGTTCCTTTTGTTTATGATGCTGTTCAGTTGGTAGCTAAAGCTTTGCATAATTATATAAAGGTAGTAGATGATAATTGGTTATTTGGACATTAAATTCTTAAAATAAATCCTCCGGGCTGGGCTCTTTCCCTCATGTTTCTATTCAATCTTACACCAGAGCCGATTTTCGACACCAATTTTCGACTTGGATTTTTTTCGAATTTATATTTTTTTAATTTCGATCAGCACTGTCTCAGTATTAGAATACGTCTTTTCATGAGCTAATACTTCCTCCAGTCCCTACATGTTCACCTATTTTATTAATTTTAATTTATATACATAATAGGAGGATTGCGGTTTTGATAGACAATGGGAAGATTGTGAATTGGCCAAAAATGGTTTTGATGGGAAGAGACTACAAAAACTTTATCGAAATGTTTCGCTTATAGGTATCTTAAAATTATATATTTTTAATATTTAGAAGGGATAAAATAAGGATTTTTCCTAAAATTATCTTTAGATGGCCAACCACCTCTTATTGACGCTAATGGTGACGGAAATGGACAATACAGTATATTTCAATTGGACGAAAGAGGACTTTACCGAAGAGTAGGAGGCTGGATAGATAACGAACTTATTGACCTGGATGTGGCAGATATCCGAGCTGGGCTTCAGGTGAATATTAAGGAATTGAACAATTCGAGGGGGAAAGGCTTGAACTGTAGTTTGAAAAAGAATAAGAATCTGGGCAGGTTTTCTGTTCAACTCCTGTCCTCTAATTCTTAAAAGCCATCTTTTGTTCAAATTCTAAACAAGACACGTGTCTTTAAAATCCAAATCCGACTTTAAATTGATATAACCTAAAAATTACTCGATTATTCTAAAAATTGTTATTATTATTAAAATTATTTCTCAAAATATTCAGCGTATTGTAACTTCAACTGGAACTATTGAGGAAGACATAAACTATATCCCTCTTTCGGTTTGCAGCTTACCCTGTGCAGAAGGCCATTATAGAGCTTATCAAGATCAAAGTTGTTGCTGGACATGTATTCCTTGTGATACAAGTACAGCAATTATACCAAATAAAACAAGGCAAAAAATATAGAATAATTAGAAAAATTTATTAAAATTTCCAGTTGTATCCAATGCCCTCTTGGTGAAGTGCCTAATGCAGAATTAAGTATTTGCGAGCCTATAAGACCAATACATTTGGATTGGGATAGCCCTTGGGCTTTTGTTCCTGCTATTTTTTCTAGTATAGGTTTGCTAGCTACTTGTGCAGTGACTGCTGTGTTTATCCGTTACAATTATACACCTGTGGTAACAATTAAATTCTGTTTATTTATTTATCTCAGATAACTAGGGATAATTAGGAGCTTAAAACAGATGTTATAATATACCCTGAGGCTGTATTTTTTCTGTTCAATGAATTTATTAAGAATTTAACTGAAAGAATTGTTATGATTAAAAATCGGACTGGGAGAGTTTGTCGGGAAGAGATGTTACATAACCTAGTGCCTGTTACCTTAATACTCGAAGAATACTAATCTCGATAACCAAGATTTTTTTGTTCGAGTTCACGGCTCTTCCTCATTGCTAATTATGATGAGCAGAAGGCGGTTTATGATAGTATACAGAATTGTTGACCTAATCCCTGTCCCTTTGTAAGTTCCTACTCTATTTTGCACTCTAACATTCAAAGAATGAGAGAGTGAGATCAGAACAAAATTTAAAAATTTAAAAAATTATAAAATTAAGGTAATGGCTTCTGGGCGTGAATTATGTTATTGTATGTTGGCCGGAATTGCTTTATGTTATGGAGTTACTTTTGTTTTGGTCAGTCCTCCATCAGAATTGGTTAGAAAATACAAAATTTCTCTCAAATCATCTAAAATTTATAGGTATGTACATTAACAAGAATACTTATCGGTTTATCAATGGCAACTGTTTATGCAGCAATTCTTGTAAAAACGAATAGATTAACACGCGTGTTTAAGCCAAATAGTGCTTTAAGGCCAAAATGGATTGGGCCTACTGCACAAGTAAAATAAAGCATTAAGAAATATTTCTTTATGAAAACCTAAAGGTATTCTTTTGCGCAATTCTTGCATCAGTACAGCTTGGAATTGCTTTAGTTTGGATTTGGTTGGAGCCTCCAGGAACTGCTATTCAATATCCATCGCGTACTGAAGCTGTTCTAACATGCAAAGTAGGGGAAACCTAATTTAATTTCTAAAACTCTTTAGAATTGTATTTAAAATTATATTCCTAAATCTAACTAAAATACCGTGAGTTGCAGAAAACCTATCAAAAGGGTTATTTAGATTGTTGTGATTTCTAGACTTTATTTTTGAAAGGGTGCTTAAAACAAGTGTTTGGGTTGCGCGTACTCGTATAGGCCAGATTTTTTCGTACTTGCACCTGCCTATTTCTACGAACTTTGGGACGAGTTTCCAAACTGCCTAAGACTTCAAATATTAGGAAACTATGAGGGGTTTCTTGAAATAGAGGGGGTACTTCTATTAATTAGTTTTAAACTTCTATTAATTAGTTTTAAAGTGTTATAGCATTTTTAATTAAAATACCATTTAATAAACTATTATTTGAAATTTATTTAAAACTTTTTTCTAAAGGCTACACTTTCACATTTGCTTATTTCACTTTTCTATTGTGGAATTCTTATAATTGCTTGCACAATTTATGGTTATAAATATTTTTTTAAATTTTTAATTAAAAGATTAATTTATTTTAAGCATTTAAAACACGTGAAATACCTGAAAATTTTAATGAAACCCGTCTTATTGGATTCACAATGTATTCATCTAGCATACTTTGGCTAGCATTTGGACCTATTTATTTTGCTACACAAAATAACTTTCGAGTGGGTTTACAAAAAAGTCATTCCAACTTCGGGCTTTTGTTGAACTTCTAACCTTTATATATCTCTTAATTAGGATTCCCGTTTTCGAGCTAGACCGTCATTCGAAGCAATTTTTAGGGCCCTACTTTTTTAAATCGGGCTTTATGAATTTTCCGAGTTTGGATCTTCAGATATCCTGAACTGAACCATAGAGTAACTTCACTCTCGACCGAACCTTGTTTCTTCGGCTTGGTTCCGAACCAGCAACCCTGGTTTCGAACCAAATTCTACATACACAATGTGTATGTACAGTTAGTTTAATTTAATTTTTAGTTTAATTTAATCATCTACTAAAAACTTGGGTCGGGTTTCGGGTAACCCGTGACATCCCTGATACACATACCTAAATCTATTTTTTCTTAAAATTACTTAATAGTTTCACCTTAAAAGATTAAAAAACACAAATTCAGATCCAACTCACTTCACTTTGCATTACCATTTCATTAAGCGGGACAGTTGCTTTAACTTGTTTTTTTGCACCAAAGGTTTATATCTGCCTGTTCCAACCTTACAAAAATGTTAGAACACGAAGTTCTGCTGTAGGGAAATTAGTGAATCAGCAAATGCGTTTTATTAGGTATTTTAAATTTTTTAGTATTTTATGTGAGTGATATGCAGTGTTTTTTGAATAACTAATCAAAGACAGTGTTATCTCTTCATCAGATTAGAAAAAACCTTACGACCCTTAAGACATCAAAGTTGACTGAGATTAATAATTGATACAAACCCCTAATCCAGTTTATACCCTCATTTGTCAGAGAACCTCTATGGTTGTCTTAGAGCGCCTCCAATACCTAAAGTGGTTGATTGGGCTAGTTTTTCGTTTATAACTTGTTCAAAGGCTACACAATCTAGTTGATTTTATACCATTTGCTCAGCTTAAAGTGATGCGTCGGATTAGCTGCTATTTGCGTTCTAACTCGAAAATAATAGGGGCTAGCAGTAAATAATAGAGGTTGGCAGATAAGTAAAAAGTTAAGAATTAAAATACCCTCCTCGAGACTTCAAAATTTCTTTAATTTCTAACATTTTTGAAATATTAAAATATTTTTTGTTGTGTTTGCAGTCAAATAACCAGTCCCGAGCAACAATCAACTGGTCATTATAATAAAATGCCTATTTCTTCATATTGTACTGTTTCAACAAATGGAGGTTATAGCGAGACCCCGTCTGCTGGTAATTTTAAAAAATATATTAAAAATATACTAACACTAAGTTTTGTTACAAACATGCGCATTAGAAAGGAAAATGTCAGATTTTAACACTAATTAACAAAAATTAACATTTTTGCTGTTTTCGGTTTTCCCTAAAATTAAATAAGCGACTAAAAAATAAAGAAACAAGAGGGTTTTGAAGGCTAACAAAATTTGCTGTTTTCTGCGTGCCTTAACAAAATTTTTAACAATTTTTTTGTGTTTTTCCTCCTTGGTTTTTTTGCCAGTAGGCAATGTACCTCAACCTCCTCTCTCTGTGTTGAGGCGACGTTCCTCCGTGGCAACATGCTTCATTGCACAGAATCAAAACTCGACAGCAGAAATGCCAAGGAAATATTTGCGTCGAATGGAGACTATTAGTAATGCTGGAGGTGGACATCATTCCGACTTGGAAAGGATAAGGAGAAGAAGGTAAAAGTTTTAAAAAAGTCTAATAAAATAGCAAGTAGATTTACCTTAATATTGATAAGCATCTGAAGGTTAAACCTGAAAATCTTTACCAAATTTGCGGAATATTGAAAATAACCCTCGAATATCTGAAAATTTTTGGTTTGTATTTCGGACTATCCCGGCTCTTTTAATCCTTTGTATGAGTGTTTTAATTAAAGACTGACATAGACAAGATCTCAAACTTGAAGAATATCGAGATCGTTATTCTAATAATCTCTAGTTTTAACAAAATATCTAATTAAATCTCTAATAACTTATTTATCCTACCATTTCCCACCTATTAATCTTTTTAATGTGAAACTCGGAAAATTTATTTTTAAATAATTATTTTTATATTTTCAGCCAAGAATCCCAACAACTTCAACAAGAAAATCTCCACCAGCATTTATTATATTCCCCAGCAGAAATGTGTCGGAGAAGACATTCAGCTAATGTAAAACGCCGTCGGTCATCCGCTGCCTCTTCTTCATCAAATTCGCGACGTTCTTCTTCGACAACTCTTTTAATCGGACCCTCAAAAAGAGAAAAATCTGAAAATGAGGTAAATTTAATATCTTTCTTCAATTTTTATGAGAACAATATTTTTTCCAATCATACAATCAAATATCTAACCACCTTATCTTTTTAATCATTGGTCATTTCATCCGTGTATTTCACGTTTTCTTATTGTCCAGATTTCTATAGATGCCCTTAATTAAGTCTATTTCCCATATAGAGAACTCTCTCTATAATAAACTCTATAGTAAAACTCTCCCTGCTGTGAACTTCTTTCTCTATAATGGACTCCTTAGGGAGACTCCCTATTGTGGACTCTTTCTAGGATCAACTCTGTGTTTCTATAAATAAGCTCTTATTATTCACTATATAGAGAGTAACAGGCCCTTTTTAATACTATTAAAAAAGGAAACAAAAATAAGATTTATTTTGTTTCTTTCTTTTCATAATCATTCCAAAATTTGATTAATTTAAAGGTTAATGACGAATGTCCTTCAACTTTGCTGACTCAAAATATAACAAAAAAGCAAAACGGTGTTTCTCCCAATTTTATTCTTCCAACATTAACAGATAAATACAACGGCCAAATAGATAAAAAAACCTGTATAGACACAAACAATCCAGTTCAATTAATTTTAAGAGAAATTAGTGATGCGTCTTTTGCAACCTTTCTTTAAAGTGATTTTATAAGAAAAATACTTGATATTGTAAAAATATGTTAAGACCAGACTTGGTAATGAATATACAGTTAAGTTCAAAATGCCTGCGGATATCCGTCCGTATCCGCCGTAAATATCCGGATACGGATACCAAAACCCATGTCCATTACCAAGTCTGGTTAAGATCTGTGTCTTAAGATTTAAAAAAGGAAGATTGAAGCAAGGGGTACCAATCCTAAAATCTGTAGCGGGTTTATGATTAAGAGAAGAAACCTATTCCGATACCGATTCTGGTTTGGGATCGAATAAATAACGCTCTATCTTAGATATTTTAGAAAGTAAAGTAAATGTGGGCGGATACGGAAATGTACCAAAAATATTAAATTACCCTATATACTCTATTAATTACCCTACATCAAATAATTCCCCCACATCTATTAGTTACCCCCTATAATTAGTCTTCCTAAAATAACCTCTATTAACTAGCCCGCCTCTATAAATTACTAGAGCGTGTTTTTTTAGGTTTTTACCTATTTTTTTTGCGAACAGCCCTTGATGAGATACGTCGAAAAAACACTGTTTTACCGCATAGTGTAACGTACTTTTCGAGTTATTAAAACCTAAAAAACCTATTTCGGCCTTTTCGGACCTAAGACCTATTTTGAGCCTATTTCGACCTTTTTTGGACCTATTTTAGGTTTTTTAAAAATTTTTCTTAAAATTTTATTATTTTTAGCCAATTTCCGCCAAATCTAACATTCAGACTAGTGACCGGGGCCGGACCGGATCCGGCCGGATTTTTCCGGAGTCCGGGTCCCAAATCCGGATTTTTTTGAAATTTCCGGATTAAAACCGGACCGGATTAATCCGGAGAAATCCGGCCGGATCCGGTCCGGCTCTAGTTGAAAATCCGGAATCCGGATCCGGGTCCGGCAAATTTTGAGCACCGGATTTGGGATTTTGTACGGTTCTGGAATTTTTCCATTTTTTCTTGTATTTTTATAAAAAGGGTGGATTTTTGACCCCTAACTTTATTGAAATTCAAAAAATTTTCGCCTGCGGCGCTGAAAAGGGATGCATTCTTCTTATTGGCCTTCCAAAGATCGCACCCGGAAGGCACGACTGAGTCCCCCTTGTATATACCTCAACTCAGTTTCAGTACTAGGCCGAAATTAGGGTGGGTATGGAGAGTTTAAGCTTCATTACCATCTAAACTTCAAAAAATTTTTTGCCTGCGGATCTAACAATAGAATTTTTTCTCCTGAGGCCTTCCAAAATTCTCGAAATTTTCGCCTCCGGCGGTGAAAAATGGAAGAAATCTTGCTTCATGGCCTTCAAAAAATGGAAAACTGACTTAAGGACTTACAAAATCCTCAATATTTTTGCCTGCGGCGCATGGAAGGGATTTGAGATTAAGAGGATCCTTGGAGGAAATATTGCTCCTTAAACTCCAGGTACGAGTACGACGTAAAGAAAGGCCTGTACGAAAGTAGGAGCAAATTTCAAAATTCAAACACGCAGTACTTTATTTTCCAAACTTTTAACCTCGAAAAATCCACAAAATATCCTTCATAGCCTCCAAAATCCTTAGATATCCCTCTAACAACATTTTAAGACATAAACGACACACATAATACAACATTTTAACACAAAAATCATAAAAAAAATTTTTTTTGAAAAATCCGGAAAAAAACCGGAGTCCGGTCCGGAATCCGGATAATTTCTGCCGGACTCCGGAAATTATTTTTACCGGATTAAAACCGGACCGGATTTATCCGGAAAAATCCGGCCGGATCCGGTCCGGCTCAAGTTGCAAATCCGGAATCCGGATCCGGTTCCGGAAAAATTGATTTTACCGGTCACTAATTCAGACATCCAAAAATCTAAAAATTTTCGCCTGCGGCGCTAGTATCTGGTATATCTACATTTAGTAGGAACTAGAGTCTGCCAAGTACTAGGAACTGTTCTCAAGAATTGTCAAATCCCCCGCCTATTGAACTTTAATGTATTTCACTATTAATTTTATTTTTTTAATCCAAATTTCACGGTTCAATGAAATTTTTCACGATTTAATCCAAATCCCTATTCAATTCAAATACACTGATATCCCATTTTATCCCGTCAACTGAAACTTTTTTCCGTGGACTCAACTGCCTCTTTTGATTAAACCCACTATTTTTTCCGTGTCCGGTAGTCTCGTCAGAGGTTAGTTTCGTCAGAGGACATTTTCGTCAGAATCAGTTTCGTCAGAGGCCTTTTTCGTCAGAAAACAGTTTCTTCAGAGGGTTATTTCGTCAGAGATAAGTTTCGTCAGAAGTCTTTTTCGTCAGTAAGGCTCCCTTTTTATCCCCTTATATCACGATATCCCTTCAAATGCTACGGTATTTAGGGTTAGGCATTGTTAAATCATTCAAATTTAGATAAATTTCTATTTAAAATTGAAAAATATTATAAAGAAGTTAAAATTTTGTAAATATGACTTCATAAATGTTTTAATTTCAACCAAAATTAGAACCTATTTTGTCAAAATTTGGACCTATTTTGGCCTTTTTCAACCTATTTCGGACCTAATTTGGAAAATTTTTGGACCTAAATAGGATCCTATTTCACAATTTTTTGGACTAAAAAAACACGCTCTATAAATTACCCTCTTCAGAGAGAGATCGAAACAATAATTACCCCGGGTAATTAATAGATTATATCTTTGATTAATTTTATTCTAGTCAACCAATGCTATTTTTATGTACATATTTAGAATATTTTTATAAAAATTTATAAAAATTTTTGATTATTTTATTTAAATATAAGCAAATTTTGTTTCGATTTTTTGGAGAGATCAGAAAAGTCAGAACACAAAGTACTCAAAAATTAAGAGGAAATCACTCCATCGCTCTGGCTGACATACTAAACAAAAGGAGAACAACCGCCTATAGCGATGTAAAACAAAATTGACGTGCGCGGCTAAAAAAGTGAATGAAATATGCAACGTATTATTAATTTTATTCTTCTTACTATAAAAAGAATTGACAAAACAAGGAAAAATAGGGAAGCGGTGATAAAAGTTGTTTTAGGAATATTAAAATTATTAGTGAATCTCTGTATCAGAGTCAAATTGAAAATTAAGAAAAAATTATTGAAATTGGAAAGAGAAGTTGAAAATCACTAAATCGGTTTTGTAATGTTCTGGTATGCTTTTTATTTAATTTTAACGTTAGTATGAGAAGCATGAACATATTAAATTTATTTTTTTGGAAGATTTCTTTGTCTTTTTTTCTAAATTTAGGAAATTTACCTTACAAGGACCTAGTTATGTATGGCTCCCGGACAATCCGTCAGTGGACAATCCGGCAGTGGAAAATCCGTCAGTAGACAATCCGTCAGTGGTCGGACAATGCGTCAGTGGACAATCCGTCAGTGAACAAATTCGTAATTCCTACCCATACCCTGACTACCGCGGCCAAAAATTTTCATTTTATCGTATGGGGGATTATGAGAGACATCGAAAATTTGGAGATTAATGAGGAAATCGGACGATTTAGCTGAATTAAAGGATATAAGTGGATTTGGGAGATATCGGGGAATTCAAAGATATTGTGGGATTAAGGGGAATATACAAGATTTGCAGTATTCTGGTGGTTATCGAGAATTTAGAGGATTAAGATGGATTTCGGGGATTAAGTGGGATATCAAGGGATATAGCCGGATTAAGAGGATTTGGAGGTTGTTCCATGATATCCATCTAAATACTATCTCTTTTTCATTGATTTCCCACAATCTCACGATATTCATCTAAATCCAACATAATCCCATCCGTTAATCATGTAAATCTAATCCATCCAAATCCCCTATATCCTTCTAAATCCATCGACATTTTTGTAAATCCGTCGACAATTTAACCAAATTGTCCAGGATCTCCCAAATCCACTTATATCCTTTAATTCAGCTAAATCGTCCGATTTCCTCATTAATTTCCAAATTTTCGATGTCTCTCATAATCCCCCAGACGATAAAATGAAAATTTTTGGCCGCGGTAGTCAGGGTATGGGTAGGAATTACGAATTTGTTCACTGACGGATTGTCCACTGACGCATTGTCCGACCACTGACGGATTGTCCACTGACGGATTTTCCACTGCCGGATTGTCCACTGACGGATTGTCCGGTCACGGTTATGTATATGTAGGTTTATTGAAGGACAATAAACCTTCCCTATTATAATATATGACGGACACAAGGAAGTACAGGTGATTTTTACAAAAAATTGTTTTAAAAAATTTAAAAGAACCAATCATTATTTCAATCTAAGAATTAATCAATCTGGTTACATATTTTAATCCATAAATGGAAAAAATGGCTGGAAAAAATGTCCACACACAAAGAGCAAAGGAGTAGAGAATTAATAGAACCGGTAAGGACGGAAAGCACCAAAAATTTTATTTAAAAAAGAGGCAAAAAGCAGTGATTTTTTAATGCTTATACGTGAAAGAATCCTTTTTCTCCTCTCAAGTATTTTTCTACACATTTTCTTTCCTTTCCCGTTTCAGCAAAAATTGCGCAGCAGCAGTTACATATAAAAATAAATAAAAATATTCTTTCATCAATGGTTGTGGTAAGTAGAAGGAGTAGAACAAGGACACGTCATCAAAAATTGTGTGTGAATATTTTTCTTAAATATATAAAAAGCATTGGCAAGTTTTATTTTATTAAAAAGAGACATTCCAATAATTTTAAATTATGTTCTAAAATTTTTAAATTTTTTCTCTCCTTTCCAAAAATTAAAAAAATCTATGCGACTCCGTTTATAAAAGCTTATAGTTAACTCTGTGTTTTTCTATTAAAACAACTCCCTATATAACAGGGACACTGCAAACCGGTTTTAAAAAGTGGAGGTTGAAAAATGGAAAAAAGTAAATCCCTGTTATATCTTGAACCTGTTAAATAAATGCTAAGGCATATGAAAACGTCTTGCGGGTTCATAGCAGGGATGTCACGGGTTGAGAAAAATGTCGGGTCGGGTTTCGGATCGGGTTTTAAAAATTTTCTTCGGATCGGGTTTCGGGTCGAAAAAAAGCCAAAATTTTGAGAATTTTGGAAGGCCAAAAAGCCAAAAATCTTCCCTTCTCAGCGCCGCAGGCGAAAATTTTGAGAATTCTGGAAGGTCCGAAGCCAGATTTCTTCCTTTTTCAGCGCCGCAGGCGAAAATTTTCAGAATTTTGGAAGATCATTAAGCTAAAAATCTTCCCTTTTTCTGCGACGCGGGCGAAAATTTTGAGAAAACTCGGGTCGGGTTTTGAAAAATTAAAATTCTCGGGTCGGGTTTCGGGTCGGGTTTTAGAAAATTTCTCGGATCGGGTTTCGGGTATCGGGTCGAAAAAAGGCCGGGTTTCGGGTATCGGGTTTCGGGTAACCCGTGACATCCCTGGTTCATAGTATTCACAATAGAGGGAGATGGGCAAAAAAAATGACAAGGGGGTCAAAGTTCAAGGGTATTCTATGCAAGGCTGTTAACCGTTCAAAAATCTCGCCATCCGACTGATCGTTTTTATTTTCTGCTTTATTAATCAGACTGGGAGAAAAATTTGCCAGCCTTACATCATTATAATTTCTAATATTCTTTCACTCAAAGTTTATTTAAAAATTTTTTTTATTTTTTAGACTTTAATTTATTTAAAAAATTATTTAAATTTAAAAATTTGTCTTTTCCTTTTTCATTTACCACCTAAAATTTATATAGCTTTTACTTATCCCTCGCGTATTACACGGGATTTAATCCACGTTTTTATAAATAAAAGTTGCCTTGAAATTAAAGGCTTTAATTTATTTAATTTTAAAAATTCCTTATTTAATCATGTGAAGTGGAAAAAAATTTTTTCTAGAATTTCAAATAATTTTTTTAGAATTTAAATTTAACCTTTTCATCTATTTCTTAGTCATTTTAATAAATTTTTTTTAAATAAAAAATTTTTTTAGAAAATAAAAAATAAAAAATGAATTTTTGTCTGTCACCTTTACCCAAAAATAATTTTATTTTATTAAATTATTTTATTTTATTTATTCAATTATTTAATTATAATAAAGCTTCGGATGTCTTTACGGCAATGGTTGATATAGAAAATTTATTGTTAAGTGAAGTTTCTGGGACATCACAAGTTATCGAGCAATATATTAAATCAGAACAAGAAAGATTAAATAAATTGAGAGAGTTGGGAAATTTAAATTTTTTATAAAGTCAAACCTCGATTTTGCGTACACGAGGGATGGGAAGTGTTAAACTCTGAACCCGACCTGAAGAAAATTTTGAAAACAGACCCCCCCCCCCTCCCCTGGGTCCTCCCAAAAATTTTTTAATTTTATTTGGTCGATCACAGGGTAGGAAGAGCTGCTTAAAAGATACCTTTAATTTTATGTACGCCCTCATTTTTACGTGCAATTTTTATAGACTCTAGGGTGTACGCAAAATAGAGTTCCAATTATAAATAAAGAAAAAATTAATTTTTATTTAAAAAGTTTTTAGATTTGCTGAAGAGTATGCCAATGCTCTTTATGATCCTAGTGGAAGGTCAAAATTTAGAGGAGGACAATTAGTACCTGGACAACTTGATGTAATATTTTGTTAAATTAAAATTAAATTCATAGAAAATAGTCGAAAAGTAACGGGGAAATAATTTAACGGAATAATTTAAACTTAGAACAAGGATGGATCCTTCCAAATTTTTAAATAAGAAAAAACGGAAGTAGTAGGTGAGAGACGGAAGTGGAAGGGAATCCAAATCATGATTGGGATTTGGGATCCAATTTGGGATCCAAAAAGATCCCAAATTAAACCAAAAATCAAGATCCTAATCCAAAACTCCCAAATCCCAATCCCATAAGGATCCCAACACCCACTCCAATCCCTGTTATTTTTGAAGGCCCATTTTGAGAATAATATAAATTATATTACAAGCAAACTACATATGACGAATTTTCTTCAAACGAAGAGAAAAATATTTTTAGATCAAAAACCTCATATATACAATTTATAAAAAATCTTTAAAAGCTGTCATTTAAAAATAACATTGAAAATAAATATACTTTTCGTCGATGACTGTAAATAGAAACGTCCAAAATTAGTTTGAAGGTCATCTTTATTAAGCGTGAGAAAACTGAAAAATCAAGGACAAATATGGAAATAAATATTTAAAATTATTTTATATTTAAAAGGAGGAAGCTGTAATGAATCCTGTTAATGCTTTTTTGTTAATTAAACGTATGACGAGTGATTGGAAAGAAATTGAAAAACTTATGCATTACAATATGGCTGATCAATTTATTAAGAATATAACTGATGGACGTGTGCTTAACTCTGTTAGGGGTTTTTTAAGTTTAATTAACATTTTTACAAAAATTGGGGGCTATAGAGTGGAGAATTAATTGGGCTAAGAAGAAAGTCTAAAAGAGGTTTAGCCAAAAGTGAGAGCCGGAGGAGCTTAGAAATTTTCTTCTTTCTAAGCAAGTAATGTACGAACAAGCTTCTTACTTACATAGACTTACATAGTAACCCTATTTGAGTAACCCTATCAATATTACAATAGGTATTTTCATTAATATACATATTCAAAAAATATAATTGACCAATTTGTCTGTTTAAAGGTAAAATATCCAGACGATGAGGACTTGGATGGTGCTGCAATAGGATTATTAAGACTTCAAGAAACATATAAATTACCGACAAAACAGCTTGCCGATGGGTTTGTTGGAAATGAAAATGTTGGCAAAGCTTTAACAGCACATGACTGTTTTGAAATTGGGAGATCTGCTTATAATCAAAAGGTTTTGAATGAAATAAATTATTTCATGTATGTACAATTGGGCTTTGAATTTAGCTACTACTTTGGGACTTTAAAAATCTTATTTAGAAATAAGGGTATAAAATAAGATTTGGACAATATCGCCCACTTATTGGCCATCAAATTAAAATTTTTTCCATAATTGGTTGTATAGTACATATTATAAAGTGGCTCCCATACAAAATCTCTATTCCTTAAAATCGCTATTCCTTAAAATCTCTACTAATCTAAAAATGCTTAAAATCTCTATTCCTTAAAATAACTATTCCTTAAAATCTCTACTGGGGTAAAAATAATTAAAATCTCTACACCGTGCAAATGGATGGTAGAGTCTCAACAAAAGTGTAAAATATGAACTTTTCATTGGAAAACCCAGACTTGGTAATGGATACGGATATGGATACAATTGATTTAAAAATGGCTGCGGATATCTGCTTGTATCCGCCGTAAATATTGAAGATATAATACACGACTGCTTCGCTGCGGTCGTGTTCATTTTGCTTGCGGTGATTGTATGCTGTCGTTCCGCTAGACATGCCTGGGTTTATCCGCAGCGGCAAAAACAATACAAGCAAAATAATATCGGGTATTGTGACTTATAGGGGGTTTTTGTTGGCTGGACCGATTTCGACAATTGAGGTGTCATTCGAAAGAGCTCGCCGAGCTGAGTCGATCCCGCGGGGGAAGAAGTCGATCCGACAATCAGGGACCGAGTTACAGACCCCTGAAGTTTGAAAAAGAGAAGGGGGAGTAAGCTCATTTTGGGATGAAAAATTCGAAAATGCAAATAATAGCTCATTCGACTCGGCTCGTCGAGCTGAGTCGAATGACACCAAAATCACCGAAATCCGACTTGATTGGACAAAGTTATGATCGTTTGTATTAGCTCCTTACCTATGGTCATTGTTGAGGTTTTTGCTGCTACGGAGGCCCCAAGTACGTCCAGAGTAAGGGAAATAGGAATAGGGTTATGTTACTGACCCAGACCCAGCGCCCGTAGACTCCCCGCGAGGCGCGTGCCGCGAAACCCCGCGCGAAGCGCGGGGTTTCGCACAAGCGCCTCGCCGACGCTCCATAGGTTTATGTTGACCATTTTGATCCTGTTTATCTTGGCTCAGAATAAAGATATCAAGCTGATTTTGGTGTCATTCGACTCAGCTCGTCGAGCCGAGTCGAATGAGCTATTATTTGCATTTTCGAATTTTTCATCCCAAAATGAGCTTACTCCCCCCTTCTCTTTTTCAAACTTCAGGGGTCTGTAACTCGGTCCCTGATTGTCGGATCGACTTCTTCCCCCGCGGGATCGACTCAGCTCGGCGAGCTCTTTCGAATGACACCTCATTTGTCGAAATCGGTCCAGCCAACAAAAACCCCCTATAAGTCACAACATTCATAATATCAAAAGATAAGCCAGAAATCAGAACAACGTTTCCGCACTGAACGTTGGCACTCAAAAGTCTTCCGAATGAAAAAATAGACATTTTATCCTATTTTTGGCCGTGTAGAGATTTTAAGGCGTTTTACCCGTGTAGAGATTATGAGGAATAGAGATTTTAAGGAATAGTTATTTTAATAATTTTTAGCCGAGTAGAGATTTTAATGCATTTTAGCTGTGTAGAGATTATAAGGCATTTTAGCCCAGTAGAGATTTTAAGGAATAGAGATTTTGAGGGGATACGTATAAAGTACTTTAATTAGGAACCTTAAAAACATTTTGAAATTTTAAAAGAAATTCTATGACTTGTACTCAGGGCTCTTGTATATGAATTGTCAATTTTAATCGAAAAAATGCGAGTAGATAAAAAAATTAAAACTTAGGATTATTTCTTTACTTTGGAATGGATGAATGAGGCTTTAGAAAGAAATCCATCACCTCAACTTGAAATGGAAATTCTTGAATTTTTAGCGTATGCTCTCTATCAACAAGGAAATAATAAACGAGCACTTTTGACAACTAAAAGATTGGCTGAAATGGCTCCGGATCATCCTAGAGCTTCATGTTGGTTCTTATAAAATAAAGAAAAAAATAGTAAACGTTAATAAGTGCGGATAAAGTTCATTCTACAAAGTAGGGTTGGACAAAACCGTTTAGCTAAACGGTAAACGGTATACGATAAACGGGTTTTTTGCTAAAATTAAACGAAACGGTAATCGGGTCCCAGATAAACGGCATAAACGGTATACGGTCCTTCTAAACGCCGTTTAATTCGTCTAATTTTTTCTAGAATTAGTGGCTTAAAACGTGAATTTTTGCCTTCTGACACACTAAAATCAAAAAATTTTCGCCTGCGGCGCAAAAAAGGTAAGAAATCTAACTTCTTGGCCTCCAAAATTCCCAAAATTTTCGCCTGCGGCGCTGAAAAAGGAAGAAATCTGGCTTCTAGCCTTCCAAAAATTTCAAAAATTATCGCTGAAATAAGAAGAAATGTAGTCTCAATCCATTTAAATCCGATCACAACACCTTAATCCTAAGATATTCGATCCTGATCACCTTAATCCTCTGATCTCCTTTAATAATCATAGTCTACCGATATACCACCTCAATCCTCCGATATATATTCAAATCCTTCAAATCTCCAAAACCACTGATTTCACTCTCAATCTCCAGGCCCCAATAATCGTCTGATCTCTTCAGCACTTCCTTTACCCTCTAAATCCATCGATATGATGAATTTATTGTTGAATGAAATTTTTATAAAGAGGGATGAACAAAATTAATGATTTTTCATTGATTTTTTTGAATTATGAATAGTTTTTAAAAAATTTTAAAAATAAACGGTAAACGGTCGTTTAAACGGGGTTTTAAAATTAAACGAAACGGTATACGGGTCTCAGATAAACGGCATAAACGGTATACGGTTTTTTCAAAATTAAACGGTTTTGTCCAACCCTACTACAAAGCGTGAATTATATTTTAATATATTCCTTTGGAAAAGTTGGGAGAGTTACTCTAAAAGAAGAGAGACCCTTCCGCTCGCCCATCACTTATATACAATATCATAATTAAGGTTGGCGGATCTTAGAAAATCTTCGGATATACGGATCCGCCAACCTTAATCATAATTAGTACTTCTTATCACTAAAAATAGTTTATTGTAAATTTTAATTTAAAGTAAAAATTTTAATTTAAAGCTAATATTGAATGGTACGAAAAGAGAATGTCAGCTGAAGAATTGACCAATTTGGAGAATTTACCCCCATTAATAAATGAACATAAACATTTTAATGATATCCCTGAACGTGACAGTTACGAGAATTTATGTAGAGGAAAATTTGCTGATTTGCCTCCTCAAAATGCCTCAAAACTTTATTGTTATAATAAAATGGATAAGGTATGGATAATTAACAGGCGAACCTCATTTTTAGATACACCCAATACTAGCCAAGTCCGTCCTTCCGATGAGAGGGTATTTTAAGAATTAAAATTTGTTTGGTCACTGGATTGAGGAGATTCTTATATGAAGGATGTTAGCTGAAGAATTATCCAATATAGGGGCCTCTCCAATATAGGGACTCTCATTATATTTTATACAATTTTCCCAATTTCGTGGGTGTATCTTCAACTGAGATTCCCCTTTAGAATCTACCTAATTTATCAAAAAAAATTTTTCAGCCTTTTCTGAAACTTGCACCAATAAAAGTAGAAATTGTTCGCTATGCACCTTTAGCAGTTCTCTTCCGTAATGTTATTTCTGACAGTGAAATTGAGACTGTTAAATATCTGGCTACACCTAGAGTTAATTAAATTTATATAATTTTAAATATTTAAAGTAAATTTTTAGCTAAGACGTGCAACGGTACAAAATGCTAAGACTGGTGCTCTTGAATTCGCTTCTTACAGAATAAGGTAAAATGCTAAGTATAAAATTTATATGATTTTTTTAAAAAATAATTACGGACCGAAATATCTCATTCGAAACAATCTCGATCAAAATTTCAAGAGATATCGGTCTTGATTGTTCGAACTACAAGTATGTCCGATAGGGTATTTTCATTAATTAAATAAAGTCTGCCTAATGAGGTTGGCGGATCCGGATATCCGAATCCGAAAAAAGGCAGGATATCCGGAAATTTTTGGTTAGGATATCGGATCCGGATATCCGATTACCTTACTGCCTAATGGTGTTTTTAAAAAAATTAAAAAGAAACACCATCTATAAGTTGATCCTTGTGGTATTGTTAGTTAAGGTTTTGATTTAATTGAGATGATCCAATATATAACTTCTTTAATCTATTGTTTGAATAATTTTACAAAATTTTATTTTAAAGCAAATCAGCATGGCTAAAAGGAGAAGAACATCCTATAATAGAAAGAATAAATAAAAGAATTCATGTAATTTTTTGACTAATTTTTTAACCAAATTTAAAAAATTTTAAAGGATATGACGAATTTGGAATTGGAAACGGCAGAAGAATTACAAGTAGCAAATTATGGAATTGGTGGACATTATGGTTAATAATTAATGATAATTAAATAAAAATATTTTTGTTTTTAAAGATCCCCATTTTGACTTTTCAAGAGTAAGTTTAGTATTTTTATAAGACTGTCAAATCTCATTTTTAGACACCACTAAAAATCTCAAAAATATATAGGAACAGTCAGAGGAAGAGCCGGAAATCGGAACTGGCTCAAAAGTCGGAACACGGAAATCGGAATTTCAACACACCTCTGCTATTCACTAGGTGAAGTGGGGAAGGGAGGGAGCTTTTTAAGTGATACTTTCTTATTTTAGATAAACCTCAATTTTATATGCCTAATTTTTTCGGATTTAAGATTGTAATATGACTAAAAATGAGATTTCATATAGGATTTTGTTTAAATTAAATTATTTTTATTAAGAATGGAGAAAAAAGTCCCTATGGCGATAGAGGCAATCGAGTTGCAACTGTATTATTTTATGTAGGTATTTTAAACAATATAAAATATTTTAATTACTCTAATTAAAGCCCTGGGCTTCTATTTTTAATAAGTTTCCATTAGCGGGCTTTTATTTGTGAGAAGAGCCGTCTCTTATGTATATGTATTAGGCATGGGCTTGAGGAGGTAATTAAAACTGAGGGGTTTATTTGAGTGTGAGTAATTATCTGAGTAAATACGGTACTTTAATTTGAAAATAAAAAATTTATTTGTAGATGTCGCAACCATCACAAGGTGGATATACTGTTTATACAGATTTAGGAATGGGTGTAGCACCTTCAATTCACGATGCTCTTTTTTGGTATAATTTACGTCGTAGTGGTGATGGTGATTTGCGCACAAGACACGTAAATAATTTTTTTTAATTTATTAAACACGAAAATTTACTGTTCTTTCTTCATCTACTGTTCTACTTACTGTTTTTGGTCTAGACAAACTCTAATTTTAATTTCTTACGTGAATAGTTGGAACCATCCCTAATACCCAAGCATTTCCAAGCATTATAATTATCACATTTAATTAGGTTGGTTACGTTCAACCCCGACCTCTAACTAGGAACTAAACTAGGAACTAATAGAACTAAATGCTACGCTTTAGTTCTATCTTCGTTAATTTATTCAGAAATTAAGGGCGATTTGGAAAGATAAATGGTCTTGGAGGGATTTCATGGGATAAAGAGTATATCTGGGGATATAATAGGATTTTAAGGGGTTAAGTGTAGCTTCAAGGGATATCAGTATAATTTCGCACAATAAATAATATATTTCCTATAAATTATTCTAGGCAGCTTGCCCAGTATTAACAGGCGTTAAATGGGTTTCAAATAAATGGATTCATGAACGTGGACAAGAATGGGTACGCCCCTGTCCATTAAAGGAAGATACTGAAGAAAGCTATGTTGGGGATATTCGACCTTTCTAATTAAAAAAATTTTTTTGGGAAATTTTTGTTTAAATCTACTAAAATATTCTATTAAATTAAAAATTGTTTCCATTCTTTTTTATATAATGCAGACAATTTTTCTAAATAAAATTATTTATTATAATTTCATGTTTTATTTTGCCTGTCAAATTAAATTTTCTGATAAGAAAAATATTTTTTAATAGAAATTGTTAGTTACATAGTTAAATTGCCCAGAATTGTCAAAATTTTAATAAATTAATAGATACCTGCACAAGTTTACATTTTTCAACCTAATAATTACTCGGAATGCGTGGTATCAAGTGTGCCAATTACAAGAATTTATTTTTTAGTTATTTAATTCCTAGCATTAGTTATTTGAAAATATTAAAATAATTTTAAATATTCCTTATAAAAATTTGTTTACTTTACTAAAAATTATTTATTTATTTATTTATTCATTAAAAATATTATTTTATGGTTATAAAAGTTTTGCGTTCTAGATATTTTTTTAGGTTAAAAAATCGTCCCTAAAATAGGGGGTGTTTAGAATAAATGCTTGATTATTCTGGGCAGGGTTGCGTCGTAATTGAAATTTATTCGTAATCGTAATTCGTTACATAAAAAATGCAATCGTAATTCATAATTTCTAAAAATATTTAAATTAATTTATAAAATCAAATATTTTTATCGCTCTTCATCGTCAGGCAAGCGTCGCCTTTCGCTTTTTAAAATCACTTTCGGCACACCCCTGATATGTACATCTGTTCTACATACGTACATATTTATTCTCATTAAACAAAAAAATTTCAAACAATTTTTATTTACTTTATAAAATTATTTAAAAGGTCGAGAATTTTATTTTACATTTTTAATTTCGTTTTTTTATTTAATATAAACATCTGTTTCAAAAAAAGTCAATTGCTAGCTTTGTTAAGATACTTAGAATTGTTAAGAATTTCATAAACTAAAAGCCATCTAAGCTTTAGAAATGTTGGCTAAATAAATACTAATTAAATAAATAATTATTTAAATTTATAAAGTCGTTACTAGAGGCATTTGAATATGTCAGAATTTATTATAAGGCGTTAACTAAGCTTCGGATACTTACTAAAATATAATCGGAATAATTTGGCAAAACATGAGCGCCAAAATTAATTGTCAACATTTTAATTCTTGAATTCACATTTTTTTTAGTAAATTTAGCCAATTTTGAGTGCATAACCAGTGCAGATTTTGAAAAATTTTGTAGATTTCAGTGAATATTTTGTGCTTTTTCGATGCATATATATGCGTATATTTTGGGATTTTCCGTGCATATTTCGATTATTATTCTAATTATTATTCTATTCTAAAATCTACTCTTAACGGTTACTTTTAAAATTTTTTAATCAAGATTAAAAATGGAAATAACACCAATAGGTTATTCTGTTGCATTTATTGAAATAATCCCAATAACAATTTTAATTCCTTTTTCTCTTTTAAATTTATTTTTATTGTGGAAAAGTTGTGTTTTAAATAATAATTCTAAAATTATTCTTATTTCACAAAGTATTGCTATTTTTATTTACTCATCAGTACGGTTATGCATGTAAGTTAATTTTGAAATGAATTAATCTAAGTTTTTCATCAGGGTTGGGATCTGCCCTAGGGAGATAAATTTTCTTGTCCCAGTTATAGTTGAGTTCTTAGACTATGGAAATCGGTGGGTATTTAGGGATTAATCCTCAAATATCTACTGTTACCAGTCCAAATCCCCTTATATCTCTCAGAATCCTCCTTAATTTTTGAATAAGTTGACAAAAATATCCCGAGAGTGAATTATTTTTGGAAGATTTTCGATTGAAAAATTTTTTCCATTAAACCCCCCTAGCTTACTCCAAGACTATTTGCTCTCTCGACCCGTTCCCCGCCTCGGAGCATTTAGAAAACACACAACAATCTGACAGCAACCCTTGTCTACCCCGACGGGCTGAGAAAATCCGACTGTATTTATAAAATTAAATTAAGGCTTATTTCAATCATCTCTAAACAATATACTTTATTTATTTCAATATGCAATTCTCCTCAGAATATTGGATTTGCTTGTATAAATTTTGGTAATTTGCTTGGGCATGCGTTAATCTTGGAGAGAACTATAGCTACTTTATTTAGTACAAAATATAGCCGAACAAAAGTTCCATTTTATGGAATTTGTTGTATTTCAATTTTGGTAGGATTTCCTCTCTAGTAATCTCTTCACCTTTAATTTTTTGTGATTTTCATAAATTTTTCATAATTTCGTTATTTTCTTTCGTTTCGTGTTCGTTAAAAAGTATTTTCGTTCGCTTTCGTTTCGTAGATTGTCATTCTTTCATTCAAGTTGTACGTGCAATTTTTCTTATAAAAGTTTATTAAAATCAAGAAAGCCTAAATGGGATATCGAAGGATTTCGCAGTATTAAGATGATTTGAATAGATACCAGCGGATTAAGGCGGATATCAGGGAATTCAAAGTGTGTAGATCTCTCAAGATCCACACAATCATCTTAATCCCTTCAAGTTGTCTGAAATCTTTCTTATATCATAAATCGGGGATAAAGGGGATTTGGAGGGATATTAGATGATTTGGAGTCTAATATTCCGACCAACAAAATTTTATTTGAAAAGTAACATCCAATTTCGAAATAGTAGAAATTGTTTATTTTATATTTTTCAGTTATTTTTGACAATAATTGACAGATTAATACCCACAAATACTACTAATGCCAATGTAACTAATTTATTTAGTATTATTCTAGTAAATGTTTCGCTGTTATTCAGCTTATTAGAATTAATTGTATGTTTTATATTTTAATTTAAATTTTCAAAATTTTTTCCCACGTTATTCAACCCACCACAACCTAATGGGCATTGCTGTAACTGAACCCATAGCTTTCATTTTATAAAGGATAATAAAAAATTTTTTATTTTATATCTGGCATTCATCTCATGTTTTCTAATTTTTAGGCATTTTCTCGATTGACAGCCTTCAATAAAAAAATGTATAAAAAATATTTGAATAACAAATCTAACACAAAAAATAATTACACTTTGAATGAGCGTTATCGACAATTAGAAAATGTTTATACAGGAAAACAATTGGCACCTTCTTTTTTCTTTCATTTTGTTAATATTTTGTGCGCAAATATCATAGCTGTAACAGTAACTTATTTGAACTTAACAAATGAAATGATTAACAATATTATTTTTATGATTTTAGTAATACATGCAATCTGTAAGCTAGGCATTGAAATTACCGTGATAACGTGAGTAGGAATTTTTAAATCAGGGCCATAATAAAGTTGAACTTAGGTATAATGACTCTTGATTTAACTACTTCTCAAAATGATCATTAGCTCCTACTAACATAAGTTCTCAGTTTAAGAAACTGCTCAAATAAACGCTTTTCTTCGGTCCCTTGAGTTTGTTATATCTAAGGATGGCGGTTGTTGGGAAATCTCCGGATATCCGGAATCGGAACCGGTATCCGAACCGAAAATTTCGGGCATCCGAGGTTTTTTCGGTTCCGGATACCCGGAACTGCCAACCTGAGTTATATCGCGATTATTTTTCCGCATATAAGAGGGAGGGGAGATATCCTAGTGTTCATATATATCACCCTTAATTCCGCCAAATCGACTCCAATTCAATTATTTGTTAAGTAAAGACGAAACAGGAAAAACATAACGAAACTAACGAAAAAACAAAACGAAACGTTTCGTGCATGTCTGGTTGACAGGATAAATGTATAATATTCACACTTCAAGGGGTATCATATACCTAATAATATTCTGCTTTAATTAGTTTAATAATAAAAATTTCTTTTTCTAGTTTCCACCCAGTTTTAAACAAAAATTTAAATAAAATAATTACAACAATAATTAATTTTATAAAATGTGGACACTCTTCCAATAAAATAAGCGTTGAAAAACAAACAGTAATTAATTTACAACAAAATGTTGCTGCATCAAAAGAACAGGAATTGCATTTTGAAATATTAAAACAGTCTTGGATGTGATATTTTTATTTTTTTTTGTTTAATTTAATTTACACATTTTTTTAATAAAAAATTTTCATGTATTTCTATGTAGTATGTATTTACTTATATTTATAAAACAAAAATGAATAAAGATTAAATGCTAAAAAGTAAAATTCCGACTTAAAAGTAAGAAAATTTTTGATTTTTATTTATCTACGAGTTCAGGCAGAGGTAGATAAACGATCCGGCTTGAAGGTGATAAAGCCCTATCTCTGAGTAGATAACAGCTCTGTCTTGAAGGATATAAAATTTTCAACTTGTTGTAGATAAAACAAACGGCTTTAAGAGAGATAGGTGTCCAGGTTCAAGGAGTAAAGGCCTGAATCAACGAGAAAAGGACAAAGGTGTTTTTCATTGTTTAGTTTAGAGAAAAAAGCTAAAAAAAGCTTTGTTTATTATAATCTATCTTTTATTTTGCAAATTAAATTTATTATATAATTATTTATTATACATATAATTTATATGGGACAAGCCCAAAGCGACGCGCGGCCATAACGGCGCGTAGACATAACTTGCTTCAGGATTTCCTAATCTTACCAAATTTAGTATCAAACGACTCCTCTCATTGTGCTAAAGAGATTGGTACAAAATATGTAGATATGGCCAGAAATTTTCCAGCAAGTTATGGCTTAGCGCCGTTATGGCCGCGCGTCGTTTTGGGCTATACCCAATTTATTTTTTTATTATATATTTTTTTATTATACATATAATTTAATTTTTATTTTGCAAATTAAATTTATTTTTGTATTAAGAAAAAGATTTTCAAATAGAAAATTGTTACCTAGTTAAAATACTAAGAATTAATAAAGCCTTAATGAATTGGTAGTATTCCTAATTAGGTGTTTTTAAAATTTGTTTTACATTGTTTCAACTTGATATTTAATCGAGATCATGCGACAAATATGGCATCAATGCGCCGCAGGCATTTGTTTATGAGTTTAATTCTTAGTTACCTATATTGT